CCATATCTGTAGTGCAAGGCAAGGCCAAGATTAGCGTAATCTACAGCTATAGACAGCAGCCAGACAGTAGTAGAGACGTGTCTCAGTCCTATCCAGATGAACATCACAGAAACCAGAGCCCCTGACTAATCAACATGTGACAGTGACACACAATCACATCATGTGATCAACTCACCGTTAGTTCATGTAATGGTAAATTTTTCACCAACCAAATTGAAGGCTTTCCACCAGCATGCTGTAAACTACAGTTGGACTGCCATGGTTGGGGCACATCACAAAATTGTGTGTTTGGGCTTATTGTCAGGGCTGTGACGAAACCAGTAGCGCAATATTTTTTCAATGGCAAAAATTCAAACACAAAGCACATTTTGTGTGCTATTGCTTGGAAAATAAATACATGTGACTGTATGACAACATAATTGTTTGTTTCCAACATTAGGGCTGTTTTCCTAAAAAAGTTAAATCCGCTTCGTGTTTTGTTTCCTTGCCACGATACTAACGAGTATCGCGATACTGGTATTGTCCCGACCCTACTTATTGTCACAACAAACAATGTCATTTCCATCACAGGTTCCAACATGCAACCAGTTTAGGCCTGAATGTCACAATGACCAGTGGTCTACAGTAAACTTCTATTATTTTTGAGCACGGTTGAGTTGAATGTTTAAGAAGAAGAGAATGCTTGCCACACTGTTTGTTGAGTTCCATAAAGGTTGAGAAGAAACTGAAATCCTCTTAGGAGGGAGTCGCCTCACAGTCCCTGGCTCCTACCGATATAGGGCACGTCCCAAATGGCACCCTATTCTCTATGTAGTGCACTACTTTTGACATAGGCCTCATTCACTAGGAGAATTAAGGGGGAGACTCACCGTCTCCCTGCTCTGTGCAGTCCACACACAATTAGCACAATAACTGGAATCACCTATGTACAACAAACTGTGTGTATGACTGAGCAGCATAGAAAAACTTAGCGACGACTGACAACTACACAAAGCACTGGGGCTTATATACTGTTGCTCTGCTGCTATGGCGAGCAAGACGCCTAACGTTGGTGGGGTGGGGACTTGTGTTTTCTTTTATGTAATTTTATGTTTTAATTTAGATTTTTCTTTGATGTACAAAGGTGTATGTAAGTGGCTGGAAGCCATCATGGGTTACCACACTGGATGGTGAACTAGGCTACACCAAGCACTGGAACCAGTAGTGACGGTATGTTTCCGTTCTCTGAGACTAATGTCTCGGGTCGCTCAAATTATAGATTTCTAATGTGCAAATATTTAAGCTTGAGTGATGAAATGTCAAATGCTAAGCCTAAATGTCCACCATATTCTAATTTCACATGGAGTTAATGCAAGTTCAATCAGGAAGTCCTGGTCTGAATCTATCTTCTTGCGTTAAACTTTGGTTCAGTTGTACAATGTAATTCACATTACTTCCTTTAACATGGGCACAGCGGGAACTTTATATTTGTTTATAAATGGTCTCATCAACAGCACCACGTGTGAAATGCCAGTCACTCATTATCCTTTAGCCAATGAGCCACAGGAAAATAACATAATTCCACCATGCTTTCTAACAGACCAACAGGCATAGCTGTTCAATTATCAACTTCCTCTCGTCACTTATGGGCGTAAATCATGAGATGTAAATTTAAACAAATGCTTACCCCTTGTCCCTCTTACTTGCAGCAAAAGTTTACACTGTCAACCCTCCACATCCCCACCGCCACCAGCTGAAGGCCCTGTCATCTGACCCTCCTTCACCCAAGCTGTGGAGGTTCTGATGCCAGCTGCCCATCAAAGGGCTAACTTCCATCCCGGCATCTGGCACCGGAGGTCATCCCCCGGAAGACGGGGCCATCCCCCAAAATGTATATTTTAAATCAACTTTAATATTTGCATTCAGTCAGACCCTAAGCCTCTCCTCGATGTAAACCTGCAGACCCCCCTAGGACATGTACAGTGCTCCGAAGGCAGACAGAGATAACTAGACAATATGGGGGAGGTAGGTTCACTGTATGTAATGAGCCCCGTACGTTCTTCTGCATTCTATTATGTTCTCTGATTGTGAAGGAATGAAGACAATATGGGTCAGAGACAGAGTCTATGACTACATTACAAGGTCTATAGTTTTTCCTATCTACATTCTATGGTGTTTTCTGATTGTAAAGTAATAAAGACAATATGGAACAGATGGGCCTATCCCAACCAAGCCTACTGTACTGTGCAACAAGGCCTGTACTTTCTCCTCTCTCTACTCTTTGGCTTTCTCTGATAGTAAAATAACTAGTAAAAATCTGAAGTGGTTTGAGCAGTTATTTCCATGGCTGCTATAGAGATTCAAATCATGTCTGGACTGGATTCAAGCCCATCACATAGAACGATGGTGCATGCTTCAACCGCATAAAAATCCAGAAGGTATTAGCAATTGCACCCTCCTTCTCATACTTAATGTTACCCAAAAGTATGGTAGATAAAAAGCACAATCCAAATGAACCATAATACAATTCAATAACGTAATGCACGGAGGAGCTCTCAAAAGGCAAGCCAGGAGAGGGAAGTGTTCATGTTTGCAATTAAATTGAATTCATGCCAGAGTTAAATTAATTTGCTCCACATATGCCTAACACGGATTCATGCATGTCCAGAAAACAGCACGCATCCCCAGGAGGACAGAGAGAAGGTCTGTTTATCAGATGGGCAGACGTGCTTTCACTATCATGTTCCAGGAATATTTACATTTTAGTCATTTAGCAGACGCTCTTATCCAGAGCAACTTACAGTTAGTGAGTGCATACATATTTTTTTTTTTTTTTTATATTCCACTAGTCAACAGCTAGGGCTAGGCCATAAAGAGAAAACGTCCAATCCCAACTCCAACCGTAAAAACAGGAGCAGACAGTAAAATAAAGTCAGTAAATTAATAAAAAAATTGTCTTAAACAACCTGTTACTGCAATAGCAAGTTTGAGTGTTTTCTTGTTGAGTACAATTCAAGACCTTGAAGTCGATCATAATGAGGCCGAGTATGAGGCTGCTGGTCAATTTTTAAAATACATTTTTGATATTTTTCCATTTTGAATTGTGTGCTTGTTGACATTTACTGCATTGATTGATAGGAACTAGGAACATAAGCATTTCACTGCACCAGCCATAACACCTGCCAAACAGTGATTTGGTTCACATTTCTAGAAAGAAACAAATATCAGCTGCATGAACTGACAGCAACTGCTTGAACCCAGGTGCCACATTTGATGATATGATATGTGATCAGCACTAATAGGAATCTACTATATGCATTGCAACAAAGTAAACAATTGGACAGTAGACCTATCTGAGAACTTAAACCCACACTGCTTGGTGCATTCTTTTCAGCTAACTGGCTGCAACCAAAGCACATTTACTGTAAACATTGACAGCATCCTTGTCTGCCTCATAATACAACTAGTTAGCTAATAGGCTAGCTTTATATAAACAATGCATCCGGGTATTACAACCGGTTTGGTAATCCTGGCTTTTCACTTCTTCCATCATATTAGTGCTGTACATCCACAGGCCTAAACTAAACCACGACGGCTGCGTTTACACAGGCTGCCCAATTACGATATTTTTGTTTCACTCATTGGTCTTTTTGCCAATCAGATCACCTCTGAAAATGATCTGTTGTGAAAAAATCTGATTGGTCAAAATACCAATTAGTGGAAAAAATATCAGAATTGGGCTGCCTGTGTAAACGCAGCCGACGTGCGTCGCATCAGTTCGATGCACCTTGCCTCCGCCGACTGACGAAATTAACAGATGGCCACATCATCACATGGCATTCTCGCTTACAGCGCTTGTTCCCAGATTACTTTGTCTTGTAGATTTATCTACGGCAAATGCCTCCCAGCTCATTCAGTTAATGCTGAATAGGCCCGGTATTACTAATGACATATGAACAGAAGACAGAACAGCTCATTCGTAATGAAAAAGGGAGCAGGTTGCACGACTGTCGAGACGATTGTCTAGTTAGTTAACGTTTCATTACAGAAGATAGTTTCGTTTCGAAACGCAATAACATAAGAGGCTAACAAGCCAACACTGGCGACTACCTACATTTTGCTAGCCCACGGGTAAAAATAAAACCAAGACGATAGCAGATCTAACTATCCAGTCATAATTTCGAGAAAGTTGTAGAACAAGCATTTCACGCCTCGCATCAGTAGCTGACTGTCTAGGCTAGCATCGTTAGCTTACAAGCTAATCTGATTTTTTTAATTTAACCAACTGTCTGGCATTTTATCCCCAAAGTGTTGTCATCATACTCAGATTCAAATATATATTTTAGTTAGTGTATCTTAGCCACTAACGTTATGTCAACATCTTTGTTCATTTAGCTAGTAAATAACGGCTGTTCAGATAGCTAGCTACATTACTAGCCATTAGTAGGTAGCTATAGCAAGTTGACATGTTAGCTAGCTAGCTTGTCTATAACGACACATTTACTGCTAAAAATGAGAAACAATTTATCTAATAATTTCCCAAATAAAAAGCAACCTTAACCTTCTTTAGTACGTGTACCTTTAACCAAGCAAAACAGTGCAGCTAACGTTAATCCCCGTTGACTTGATGTTTCGCTTCCGAAACCCTGCTGGCTCCTCGGATGTAAAACGTCCAGTCTAAGATTCTGAACCGCTTTTCCCGCAACAGCGAGAGCCACTGTGACTGGCGTCATCTCACGATACTGTCATGCGCTTGTTTGTGGGAATCACCAAACCTTACACACATGTACATGCTATTTTAATTGAAAACAAATTACATTCACCATTGAGTGAGCTGTAGTAACATGTTTTGATGTCAATACAATATGACTATGGTAAGACAAGCTGTGACCCATAAATGTGGGTGTAAGCGTCCAACCTTTATATTGAACAAAGTGGTGTGCACTGTACCATACCATGAATATAACAAATACATTCACCACTAAGGTTTAAAAGAAAGAAGTGACTCACAATTGCTTGCGGTCTTCTTTTTAATATGAAACCACAGGTTTGCTTTACATACATACACTGTCAACATTTATTTTGCTGTGTTGGAAGCACCATTTTGCAATAAAGTATATTGAATTTGCTTGCTAGGAAATGACTAAAATAGTTATTTACTTATTACACATAACATTAGAAATGTTCTGTTTTAGAAATGTATTGCCTGACTCAACATATATTTACACTGCTAGGTCTTGTGCCCTCTAGTATAAAGCATTTCACAGTAAAACCCTTGCACATTTAGTTACATTAAACTAAGGGTCCATAGTCCCCATTACCCAGCACAACATTATTTCACATAGAAAATGGGGTTAAATTGGCAGCATTAAATCATTGCCACCTTTACTCCTTGGATTTCCATGTCTACATTGTTACTTCAATCTGTACTGCTGAAATCTTATGTCTTGCAATAATATTTTCCTCTCCAAACATTCCACTAGCCTTCATCTCCCTGTTCCCTGTCCCCTTGTCTCTTGCCCCATCTGATGTCAGACAGTGTCCCATACATCCAGCATAGTGTGGTGGTTACTGGTGGTGTCGACTCCTCATAAGGTTGTCCAGTTGTGTCTTGTTGATGGTGCCGTAAGCCTGAGAGTAGCTGCCTAGTTTGGCACGGGGATCCCCGGCAGCCGCCACGTTGGCGTTACTCTGGAAAACCTTCTTACTGAACCTGGGAGGAGGGGGCCGTGCCTCTCGTGTCTGAGACTGGGACCTCTGGTTCTATATTTACCCCCCAAAAGGAAGAACATTTGGGTTAGAGGGGGAGATTTCAAAATGTTATGAGGGTAAATATGGGTCCAATAACAAGAAGTAGTAGGATTCATTGCACAGCAGCTGAGTTCCCTGTTCCCAACAGGGTGATAATGAAACAGTGGAAAATGACATAAAATATGATTTATGTATGGCATTACCATAAAACCTTAATAGTGGCAGCAGCAACAGTATATGAGATCATATGACCTTGTTAAAGTAGCAAGGCAAAGTCCACTCACCAGGCGTGCAGAGGTGACACATATCCCTGAGGACACTGAAGGCTCGTCTCTGCGGACCAGCGGGTTGTTCTGGGGCTGGGAGAGGGTCAGGGAGAAGGAACGGGTACGGCTGACAGGGGCTGAGCGACCGCGCTGCAGAATCTGCTCCATAGACTGGCAGATGGGGAGAGAGAGAGAGAGAGCGAGAGAAAGACACAGAGAGAGACATTATTACAGATCTTTTCCCCCCCATGCATTGTATATTTTTCACTGGACACTGAAAATAACTTGTGCTGCGTTGTGATCATCAACACAATGTTTCATAAATATAGTCTGTCTGTAATACATATGACTAGTCCCCTGTAGCTCAGTTGGTAGAGCATGGCGCTTGCAACGCCAGGGTTGTGGGTTCATTTCCCACGGGGGGCCAGTATGAAAATGTATGCACTCACTAACTGTAAGTCGCTCTGGATAAGAGCGTCTGCTAAAATGACTAAAATGTAAAATGACTAAACATGCTTGTCTATCCAGTCATCTGTATTTTAGATATTCAAGGTGTCCGCTGAAGGTTGCTAGACCTCAGTCTGAATTGTGTGTAGTTTAATCCTTTCCATTGTATTCTGCTATTAACAAGTGACGCTGCAACTAATCACTGAAGGTCCTAGTACAAGGATCGAGGACACACTGATTATTTGCACAAACACATACGGTACACACATAGGTATTGCATTATATCATGTATCTTAAGAGGATATCATTTTATTTATTTATTTTATTTAACCTTTATTTAAACAGGTAAGCCAGTTGAGAACAAGTTCTCATTTACAACTGCGACCTGGCCAAGATAAAGCAAAGCAGTGCGATAAAAACAACACAGAGTTACATATGGGGTAAGAAAACAAAGTCAAAAAATACAACAGAAAATATATATACAGTGTGTGCAAATGTAGCAAGTTATGGAGGCATAAGCTGGGTAATTTATTCTGCAACAATCTTTTTGATTTGTTGCTGATTATTGTTCCCTTGTTGCAGCTTGTATTAAACATGATCAATTTAATCTGTTGTAACTAAACTCATTCCTGGGACCTGAGAATTTCCCTATTGCCGTGGTACTTACAACAGTGTCATTAGCACCCTCTGCTGGCGGTACGGTTACATTTTCATTACTCATCTGTCCCTCCAGTTTCCTGCTGGCAGTACCGGAGCGAAAATAGTGAGGTGGTCCAGCCAGACTTCTAACATACCCATCTACATGAGAGAAAGATAAGATAAATACCATGACAAAGTATGTGTCTGTGTGTATGAAGTATGAAGGTGTGTGTGAATGTGGGGGACCAAATCAACTCAAATTGTATTTGTCACGTGCCAAATACCGTGAAATGCTTACTTACAAGCCCGGAGGGGATGGCTACCATTTTACGGGCTCCTAACCAATTGTGCTATTTTGTGTGTTAGTGTACTCACTGGCAACATGTGTGATGGGATTATATGTAGTCTTTCCCATGATGGGGCTAGCTGCAGGGCTGGTCCTCTCCAGGGCTGGCTGGGTGGACACAGGTACTGGGGTAGGTACAGTGATAACTGGACGAGCAGCCTGGTGTTCTGTCTTATCATGAGGGGATTTAACCCCAAGGTCCCCTCCACCATCACCAGCCACTGGGACTGGCTCCGGCCCTCCATTGTCCTTCCCAGTGGGACTTTCCCTCCCGTAGTCTCCACTGTCACACCCAGACCCAGACCTAGAGACAGGCTCCTCTTTCTTCCTCGGCCTGGGCTGGACATGACGTGGCATTCTCCTTGTGGTCCTCTTCTCTAGAATCATCTTTTTCACAGGACAGATATAAGAGAGGGAGGGATAAAACTCCTTATAGATATTGTGCCTTTTTTCCATTCGTTACAAAAATATAAATATATACAGTGAGGGAAAAAAGTATTTGATCCCCTGCTGATTTTGTACGTTTGCCCACTGACAAAGAAATGATCAGAGTATAATTTTAATGGTAGATTTATTTGAACAGTGAGAGACAGAATAACAACAAAGAAATCCTGAAAAACGCATGTAATTTTTTTAATAAATTGATTTGCATTTTAATGAGGGAAATAAGTATTTGACCCCCTCTAAATCAGAAAGATTTCTGGCTCCCAGGTGTCTTTTATACAGGTAACGAACAGAGATTAGGCGCACACTCTTAAAGGGAGTGCTCCTAATCTCAGTTTGTTACCTGTATAAAAAGATACCTGTCCACAGAAGCAATCAATCATTCAGATTCCAAACTCTCCACCATGGCCAAGACCAAAGAGCTCTCCAAGGATGTCAGGGACAAGATTGTAGATCTACACAAGGCTGGAATGGGCTACAAGACCATCGCCAAGCAGCTTGGTGAGAAGGTGACAACAGTTGGTGCGATTATTCGCAAATGGAAGAAACACAAAAGAACTGTCAATCTCCCTCGGCCTGGGGCTCTATGCTAGATCTCACCTCATGGAGTTGCAATGATCATGAGAACGGTGAGGAATCAGCCCAGAACTACACGGGAGGAACTTGTCAATGATCTCAAGGCAGCTGGGACCATAGTCACCAAGAAAACAATTGGTAACACACTACGCAGTGAAGGACTGAAATCCTGCAGCGCCCGCAAGGTCCCCCTGCTCAAGAAAGCACATATACAGGCCCGTCTGAAGTTTGCCAATGAACATCTGAATGATTCAGAGGAGAACTGGGTGAAAGTGTTGTGGTCAGATGAGACCAAAATCGAGCTCTTTGGCATCAACTCAACTCGCCGTGTTTGGAGGAGGAGGAATGCTGCCTATGACCCCAAGAACACCATCCTCACCATGCGTTTTTCTGGATTTTTTTGTTGTTATTCTGTCTCTCACTGTTCAAATAAACCTACCATTAAAATTATAGACTGATCATTTCTTTGTCAGTGGGCAAACATACAAAATCAGCATGGGATCAAATACTTTTTTCCCTCACTGTATGTCATAATGCCCTGAAAGAACTTAGTTGAACAATTTATTAGTTACTGTTAAAAACTTGGCAGTAATGGTCCAGCCTAAGCCAACCAAACACAGAACATGAGACAGGTGTTCATCATTCTCCCTCCCCTCAGTATTACCTCATACAGTTTGTTGCGGTACTGAACCACCGACAACTGGACATCATCATCCACAGGCAGGATCACGTCAGAGTCCAGACCTGGCTCCTTGGCTGGGTTGTGGAATCTCCAGTGACATGAAGAGGAAAAACGCAAAGATTACATAACATAACACAAATAGATGATACATTGTTAAATCCAAGCCATGCATACAGACGGGACAACTCGCGCTACTCAGTAACATAAACAAACAAAACAGAAAACACTTCGGCAGCGTCCCAAACGGCACTCTATTCCCAATATAGGGAGCCTGGTCAAAAGTAGTGGTAGGGAACAGGGTGCCATTTGGGATGCACCCTATATACTGTATATACTAACAGGCGTAAACTTAAACCCTTTGTTTACAACAGAAATTATCAGTATTGGCATCACAAGAGGATTCAAGCATTATGTCATCAAACAGCTTTGCTTGCTCTTTGGGTTCTAGGCTGGGTTACTCTAAAGTGCCTTGTGACAACTGCCGATTTAAAAATGACTTTATAAAACACATTTGACTGGACATGATTGATAACCATGTATGAAATGGATCCTGGTACTGGAGCACAAAAGCCTATATAAAGCTCCTATAAAGCACATTGCACTGCATTTTAATGTATGAGATGTGCTGTATAAATGAAGTTTGATTTGATTTCTAAGGTACCTGGAGACGTAGAGGTGCTGCAGGGCCTGCTCAGCGGTCAGCCTCTTGTCTGGGTTGAACACCAGTAGGCGACGCACCAGGTCTAGGGCATCCGGGGGCACCGACGGCTGCAGAAGATCCTCTAGAGGCACCTGGGGCCTGGACACAGACAAATACAGACAGTGCAGCGCAGTGAATACATGTCTAGACAGCTGACTCTGCACCTTTATATAGACATTTACTTCTGTAGGACCCAGTAGATTTCCGCTATGACTTACTTCAGTAGCATCCTCTGAATCACAGAGGCACCATACTCGGATCTGATGGAAAGTACGTCTGAAAACAAAATCACATATCATTACTTAGGTAATGATCAGTTGGTCAGTTAACTTGGTCAGTTAGGAGCATAACAACTTGATTCTCACTACTAGTGCTCAACAAGCAAATAGCACGCTAGCAATGATCTGTGAACCCCGCAGCGACGACTTAACACTCACCCTCTGGGCTGGGGTGTGGAATGGCACTCATGATTTTCTCTATCTGGTTGATGGTGGAGGTTCCAGGGAAAAGGGGCTGCCCAAGTAGCATCTCTCCTAGGATACAACCTATGCTCCACATGTCCACCCCCTTTGTGTATCTGTAGAAGAAATCAAAGGATTTTCATGGACTGACTTCCAATATGCAGGTTTCTGCATGGCTACTAGTAGTAGTAGCCTACTACTTACCTTCACATCAAGTACATTGATCTAGCAAAAGGGCAACTAATTTTAACATTACAAACGTATAATAATAATAAATTTGTAGAGTGCATTTCTCACGCTCAACCCACATAATTTTCTATGGCAAACAGAGAGCGATACACATACAGTGGGGAGAACAAGTATTTGATACACTGCCGATTTTGCAGGTTTTCCTACTTACAAAGCATGTAGAGGTCTGTAATTTGTATCATAGGTACACTTCAACTGTGAGAGACGGAATCTAAAACAAAAATCCAGAAAATCACATTGTATGATTTTTAAGTAATTAATTTGCATTTTATTGCATGACATAAGTATTTGATCACCTACCAACCAGTAAGAATTCCGTCTCTCACAGACCTGTTAGTTTTTCTTTAAGAAGCCCTCCTGTTCTCCACTCATTACCTGTATTAACTGCACCTGTTTGAACTCGTTACCTGTATAAAAGACACCTGTCCACACACTCAATCAAACAGACGCCAACCTCTCCACAATGGCCAAGACCAGAGAGCTGTGTAAGTAAATTGTAGACCTGCACAAGGCTGGGATGGGCTACAGGGCAATAGGCAAGCAGCTTGGTGAGAAGGCAACAACTGTTGGCGGAATTATTAGAAAATGGAAGAAGTTCAAGATGACGGTCAATCACCCTCGATCTGGGGCTCCATGCAAGATCTCACCTCGTGGGGCATCAATGATCATGAGGAAGGTGAGGGATCAGCCCAGAACTACACGGCAGGACCTGGTCAATGACCTGAAGAGAGCTGGGACCACAGTCTCAAAGAAAACCATTAGTAACACACTACGCCGTCATGGATTAAAATCCTGCAGCGCACGCAAAGTCCCCCTGCTCAAGCCAGCGCATGTCCAGGCCCGTCTGAAGTTTGCCAATGACCATCTGGATGATCCAGAGGAGGAATGGGAGAAGGTCATGTGGTCTGATGAGACAAAAATAGAGCTTTTTGGTCTAAACTCCACTCGCCGTGTTTGGAGGAAGAAGAAGGATGAGTACAACCCCAAGAACACCATCCCAACCGTGAAGCATGGAGGTGGAAACATCATTCTTTGGGGATGCTTTTCTGCAAAGGGGACAGGACGACTGCACTGTATTGTGGGGAGGATGGATGGGGCCATGTATCGCGAGAGCTTGGCCAACAACCTCCTTCCCTCAGTAAGAGCATTGAAGATGGGTCGTGGCTGGGTCTTCCAGCATGACAACGACCCGAAACACACAGCCAGGGCAACTAAGGAGTGGCTCTGTAAGAAGCATCTCAAGGTCCTGGAGTGGCCTTGCCAGTCTCCAGACCTGAACCCAATAGAACATCTTTGGAGGGAGCTGAAAGTCCGTATTGCCCAGCGACAGCCCCGAAACCTGAAGGATCTGGAGAAGGTCTGTATGGAGGAGTGGGCCAAAGTCCCTGCTGCAGTGTGTGCAAACCTGGTCAAGACCTACAGGAAGCGTATGATCTCTGTAATTGCAAACAAAGGTTTCTGTACCAAATATTAAGTTCTGCTTTTCTGATGTATCAAATACTTATGTCATGCAATAAAATGCAAATGTATTACTTAAAAATCATACAATGTGATTTTCTGGATTTTTGTTTTAGATTCCATCTCTCACAGTTGAAGTGTACCTATGATAAAAATTACAGACCTCTACATGCTTTGTAAGTAGGAAAACCTGCAAAATCGGCAGTGTATCAAATACTTGTTCTCCCCACTGTATACATTAAAGGGAAATTCAAAAAAAATTATACTTCATATTCATCATCTCCAGCTCCACCCCAACATCAACATATGTGAAAATGGCACTTTTCTATGTTTGGTAGTAGATAAGTGTTTCTGATTACATCTGATTTTAACCAATTATGAGTAGGCATTGCCTGCTCATAGTTGGTTAAAATCACATGATGCACACCAGATTATGTTTTGTATGGATGTGTGCATTTCACCCTTGATTATAAAAAAAAAAAATTCAAGCCTAAAGGAGTGGCTCAGTTACTTGGGAAAAGTAGGCCGTACAGTGCACTGCTCCATGTAATCCCAGTGTGTGTGTACCTTGAGGAGCCCAGCAGGATCTCAGGAGCTCTGTACCACCGCGTCGCCACATACTCTGTCAGCGCCGGGTTCCCAGCATCCTCCTGGATCTGGCAGAGAGACCTTGCTAAACCGAAGTCACAAAGCTTCACAAAGCAATCCGTGTCAAGCAGAATATTGGAGGGCTGAGGGAAGAGAAAAGCAAATTCAATCATGTCATCCAAATAGTTTTCCCTCCAGATAAACAGAATAATTGGATAGCGTCATCCATACTGGTGGCACCAGCACATCTGCAAATGCAATAATGTCATATTCTCAACAAGCACACTTTTTAGTACATTGGCAATTTAACCATTTTACTGTACCTTCTGGTCTCTGTGGATGACATTGCCTGAGTGCAGGTATTTGGTGGCCTTGAGGAGTTGATGCATGACATAGCGTTTATGGATGTCTTTCAGCAGGTTGCCTTTCTTTATCACTGCATGCAGGTCGGTGTCTGCAACACACAGTTGGTAAAAACACAAATAACCAACAGGAATCATAACCAAATGGAATCGTCCAGCACTGAGCATTCATTCTTCCCCCCCCCCCCTTAGAATAATGACACTTTGAAAACACCTTTCCACAAACACACAATGAACCACAAACACAAGATTAATTTAGCAGTCAAGTGAATGACAAACCAGATGTGTCACGTTTCCCATAAACAATCTACGCACTCCTGCAGTGCCCCCAAAAATGTGTGCACGTGTGACGGTGGGTGTGTGCCAGGGGCACCATGTGCAGTGATGCGGCCCCACACACTAAGAGATTAGGCTGCAGAGAACAGAGAGCAGTCCAATGTGTAGACTCAGCATGCATAGCAGGCAGCCAAGAGGAGAGGAGCCCTCCCCATCACCCTTTCCTCTGGTGCCAGGTTTAAACTGCTGAATAACCTTGCAGCTTGCCTGCCTGCATTTTTTTTGCTGTTATTTCAAAATGGCCGACCCAATTAAATTTAGCACAGGATAGGTGGCCAATAATAAATACTGTGGCAAAGCACAGGTATCATTAACATTTGGTTCATGCATGTGACCGACCAATACTGGTTCATGCATGTGACAGACCAATACCTCACGAGGCTTCTTCTCTCCAAGCTGAGACCTTGAAACTGAGATATCCTTTCGTTCTCAAAACAAGGTTCTGGGCGTACTGCCAAATTGCAGATACTGATAGTGAGGATTCGTTCAAATCAGTCACTTGCATGAACACAGAAATTGGTTATTAGAAAAGCACAAACATAAAATGTTCCATCACATTACCAAATAGCCATTTTATATGATACAGTGTGCTACCATCTCACATATTACCACATTCCTCAAGTGAAATCAAAATAATATTAAAAATGGATGTCAACAGATAATCCACATAAGAGTCCTCACCCATGTATTCAAAGACCAGGTAAATATCTTTGTCATTTTGAGCTCTGATGACATTCAGCAGTTTGACGATGTTGGCATGATCTCCAAACTCCTGCAGGGAGAAATACAGAACAGTTTAGAAAACGCGCACACACACACACACGTCACAAACAAGCACACACACAGTCCTCAAAGACCACCATAATTGAGTGAAATAAATGTTACGACTACAAAGGGAAGAATCTTCTTAGGGATAGTGACATAAGAACAGTCTAGGTGGTGTTGGTGTGGGTTAATGTTTAGATGCGTTGTTATGTAAATCCTCTAGACTGTGGTGCCAGTGTTTTTGTGGGAGATGGCAATAGCTGATTATGGACACTGACACACAGCTTAAGGCCCTGGCCTGTTTTCCCTGGCCGCAGAGGATGGAAACGTACAAAAACTGACCACACTGTTTGCTTCTCTGTGCGACCAGTTTTCTGTCCCCTTTCAGTAGGTCAGAATATATGGCCACCCTATGAATGATGAACTAAGCACCAAATCACACTGCAAACTGTCCACAATACTGTTAGTAGTCTCTTTAAAATGGTACAGGGGTTGTATCTGTGAACCTGGACTAAGGCTTCTGCTCAACTATAGAATAACTAAACAGAACTGTCTCTGTCTAGACTATGAGACTTTAGCATAGGGATTTATTATTGTATGCATTCATTTCAAAACCATGCCATAAAAATGTTAATGTCCATTTTGTTATGCATAATCTCTCGTGGACAGGCTACGTTTATGTGAGATTTTCGGTTCTAAATTGGCCAGATTATGTTATACACAATTGTAGATACACCAGTTCAACACTTGGCAGGGGCTAATCAGCATGAAGGACTCTTCCTGAAGAGCAGGAGCCATCTGGTGTTTACATTACGGTATGCAAACACAGTCCCAGTGTACACAGCAACATGACCATTCCACTCTGGCTATATACTGTAGCTGGCTGCGGTTGTCCTCCATTTCAAACAATTGAAGCACTCAGTTCAACTTCCCATTTGTTGCTAACTGAAATAGGTATTCAGTCTTACCTGAAGAAACATTATTTCTCTGAATGTCCGCTGTGGAGAAAAAATAACATTGGGAAGAGGTAGGAAAGGCCAAAGTAATTTTGATTAACAATCTATTTAATCATTAACGGAAAAAAATGAAACAAGTTGTTTGAGAACCCCTGGCTCTTACAGTATTGCCATAAAATGATAATTAGATATAGTCAAGGTTGTTGAATAGGGACTTTTTTGTTACGCCCCACAAACTGGCACAACATATATTAACATTTTTACATTTTAGTCATTTAGCAGATGCTCTTATCCAGAGCGACTTACAGTTAGTGAGTGCATACATTTTTATACCGTTGTAGCTACACCTAGTTAGTGGCAGACAAAACTAGTAGTCTATGTCAATGACCAATCTCATCATGAATCACAAACCTGGGCATCAGTCCTATTCCTGAAGGCATCAAATATTTTCTTTACAGCCACAACTTCTCCTGTCTGTCTGTCCACAGCCTTCCATACAATCCCATATGCCTGGACACAGAGTGGATAAAGAGATATAAAACTGTTAGTGAGCCATTATAAGGATTAAAGGTAAAACAAACAGCCACAAGACTGTAGTTGAGCCCTAAGAGAAACTCAAAACACAACATGGAACAGACAGGGGAGTAGAGAAGAGAATAAGGAAAGACTAAACGTTCTAGGGAGCGATTACTAAGCACTTTTGGAGTCAGCAGCACATTGAGGAGAGGTGACTGGTTATGACATCAATGGGTGAGAAGACAAGACATGGTCAGGGAACACTAGACACTGGTCTGGTCCCTCTGGCGTCAGTGACTTCCTGCTAAACGAGCATAGCAAGGCTTACTTTAATCCTGTCAGAAAGACTGAAAACTGGGGAAATAGGGGTATTCAAAGGAAGACTTTTGGGGGAAGGATCCGTTTTTGACAAATTACTGTCTTGGATCTTATGATGGTACTCTTGGTATTGTAACCTAGGAATAGTGCCCAACAACCCCACACCATTTGTTTTATTTCCTTGGGTAAATTTGAACTGTAAACGTGGCGAAAGCTCACTCCACAGCTAGCTTGAAATGTTGCAGATGAAGCTGTCCAATTGGCACCTGTTGTATAACTCAAACGGTTGGTACGTTGTCAAGGAGGACGGTCACGTGGGTTTGAGAGCAGGAGGATCAATGGTTCGAGCCCGGTATGGGGACAGTGCAGGAAGCTATACTGTGAGCAGCACACTGACGTAGGTGTCACTGGTGCCGTGACCCGGATCGGCAGTTGGAATTACCTCAATGGCCGGGGTAGCTCGCTGTGTCGCGAGTTCAGAAGCGGTGAGTGTAATGGAGTTAAGAACGTGCCGTAAACTCACTCCACAGCAAGCTAGAAATGTCGCCGATGGAGCTATCCAATTGGTGGCATTCGTACAGCTAAAACGGTTGGTACGTTGTCAAGGAGGACGGTCACTTGTGTTTGCGAGAAAACGATCACTGGTTCGAGCCTGGTCAGGGACAGTGGAGGAAGATGTACTGTGAGCAGCACACTGATGTCGGTTTCATTAACACCTGTGTAATAGGACCCATGGCCTCATCATGGGAAGATTATAGGTAGTATTGAGTGACGCATCTACATTACTCAACAGTGTCCCAGGTTTGCCACCTGCCACTATACAGTTCAGAGATATAATAAGCATCAGGGAGGCTAGATCTAAAACATTGAGACTCTTCTTGGTTTGTCAAGGAAAAGAAAACAGGTCTTCTACGTCTAGGGAAAAACTAAACAAAAGATTTGGACTCTGAAGTCAGTGATTTTTCTCTTTCCCTAGTATCAAAGTCTGCTGACCTGGCTGAAAGAAACGGCTTGTTTCAATCCTCCAGCTTATGACATCAGTATTCACAGAGACTAATTCTGGGGAATTTTAAGAATTGTTCTTAAAGGAATGACTGGGGAGGTAAATGTGAAAAGTAGCAATGTGTGTAATTGAGAGTAATTCAATGACTATTCATATAGAATAAAATGGATTACAAAAGCGACTTATTTTTCTCTTTAGACAGTACTAATCACGTAGATCAAAATCAATACAATTTGACACACAACCACTTGCTCTTTGTATTTATTTGCTATTATTGTTTGACAAGTGAGTGTGCAATACAGCTGTCATTCATTAGTTTTACTTTCACATTACTATTGTCAGATTATTATTTTTTTTTTACAACAAATAATACTTTTTCAGGAACTATAAAAACTGGGACAGACAAAATTACTTACCCCCTTTCCAAGTCTTCTCTTTATTTCGTATTTCATGGAAATATGATCCTCCACTTCCGTGATGTTCATCCTAATTCTTTGTTTAGATAGCGAACTCTTATGCAATGTTTCTCATTCCTTTTTGGTAATTACAAAGTAAGTCAGCCACAAGTAGACATTCTGCAAGGAAACACTTGATCATGAATGTTCTGAAAACAGATGATTCAAGGCAACAATGTATCAACTTATTTTGCAGCTGCAATCGCCATATGACTACCCTAAAAAATTAAACATCTTTCGTTTTGAAGGAGTTGTTGAATATAAACAAGTTAACACATGAATCGTGATTATGTAGTTAGCTATGTTGTTTGGCAGCCAGCACTGCTTGCAGCAGCGCGCTAGCTAGCTTCTTTGAACTTCTGAGCTAATGTTGAATGGTTATTGATCAATCACTGTCGTTGCCCACCGATACATTCCTAAACAAATATATCCCTCCCGAAAATTACCGATATGGTCTTCTTTGAAAGCACTGAAACAGTCCGGTTCAAGGATATCGGCGACAGGTGTTGGTTGCTGGATACAAACAAGCATATCCGTTCGTTTTGTAATTGTTTGTCGTCCTGGAGACGCAACTATGCTGATGTACGGTTTCCACTAGACAGCAGTCACAAAGTCAGAATTGACTATATCGTAACAATCCATGAAAACAACCAATTAGCTCTTTGGTCTTAAATTAGGGTTAGGCATAAGGTTAGCAGTGTGGTTAAGGTCAGGTTTAAAATCACATTTTAAGAAGATACATTGTAGAAGTGGGCGGGGTTTATGACTTTGTGGCTGTGGTAACTAGTGACAACAGTTCCAACCGCTTTTAAAGGAACAGTATGCTTTATTTTCTGAACCGAAGCGCTTCATCAAGATACTGTACCAAGCGAAACGTGCAATGATTAACCTTAGAATTCAGACATACATTTCTAAACATGATAACAGGCAGACACCAAAGTTGGAGGTAGATGTTTTTAAATATTATTTCTAAAAAGTGTTACATGCTTTTTTTATTCAAAACTGCATTATTTACAATGATAAATCTTAATAAATATGCTCTCCCTAATTATAATTGAGGGATGAAACACCATTTAGTCAGCATCCCAAAAGGAGGAGGGAATTCTATGAATCCACATGTCTCCATTGCCCACCTAATGTGGCCAAACCCTCACATCTAAAGAAAAGCTGATTTAATCATGTTAACTGAAGTATAGTCCTATAATATAAAATGTACTCAAATCAACTGAGAAAAACAAAATCATAGATATCAACCACATTTCATTCACCAGAGTGTTTCAACATAATCATCAATAAGGGTGCATTACATATAACTCATAACTATTTTAAGGCCCATCTGTCCATCAGCTGTTACAACTTGAATTAAATGAACATCCATTGCCAGGAATAACCTGTACACAAGTTATTGGAGTGTCTCGGAGTGCAGACCTGTACACAAGTTATTGGAGTGTCTCGGAGTGCAGACCTGTACACAAGTTATTGGAGTGTCTCGGAGTGCAGACCTGTACACAAGTTATTGGAGTGTCTCGGAGTGCAGATGAGGAACAGCAACATACTGTATTTCACATAAATGTGCAGTTCATTTTCATCTCAAAATGTTATTTCCATCCTTTTATCAAAGTTTTGGCCGACCAAACTTCTTAAACACAGCCCAGGTCACTTTTTTACATGTTGTATTTCAAATATCTTGTCTTCATCTAAACTGACACCGGACCTTGTGTTGGTATAACACCAGAAGTAAACGCAGTCCTATGTAGATGCTAGAACACAGGCTGATACCACATTGACTTGGTACCGGTACCCCCTGTATATAGCCTCGTTAATGTTATTTTATAGTGTTACTTTTTTAACTTTAGTTTATTTAGTAAATATTTTCTTAACTCTATTTTCTTAAAATTGCATTGTTGGTTATGGGCTTGTAAGTAAGCATTTCACGGTAAGGTCTACACCGGTTGTATTCGGCGCATGTGACAAATACAATTTGATTTAATATGAGTAGTCTTAACACAGTGTCCCGTCACTCAGGCTGGAGAACTACAACTCAACCAGGCATCTCACTGAACAGGAGGAGGACCGCACTGGGCAAGGCCACAGCACTGGACGCTGCCAAGCGTCTAGGTCAGAGTTCAAAGGATAAAACAGACAGGTACTGTACCAGAGATGGAGGAAGAAAGATACTATTCAATGGAATAATACAGACCACAAATGATGACATCTGAGACGTGTAGCGAGAGAGGAGAGGAAGGGATAGTACAATGATATAAGAAAGGTGAGAACAGTCCTGGATGATGGGTAGATTAGGAGGAGTGTAAGAAGCGGTTGAAGGCGTTGTAGGCGGACTCCAGGTCAAACAGCATCTGGCGAACCTGGGAGTCGTCCAGCTCATCAGAGGCTGACATGCTGCTGAGAGTGGTCAACCTACAGAGGAGAACACACAACTCTTTACCTTCTGAATTACTATACTAATTTAGTGTTACGCCTACTCTGTCATTGTTAAGACAATACGGGCCGGTTTCCCGGACACAGATTTAGCCTAGTCATATATTAAAAAGCATGGTCAATGAGGATTCTCCATTGAAAGTGCTTCTTAGTCCAAGACTAGGCTTAACCTGTGTCCGGGAAACCAGCCCTAAATGTGTGTAAGTGAAGTATATCTTTACCAGAGGGTGACTTTGTCCTTGGCCTCATTGTCTGGGGGCATGTTGCTCATTCTGTTCATGGTCTCCATCAGCTCTCTCAGGTCTGGTTGGATCTGATCAATTCAAACCACTCAATCAGTCAATTAAACATAGGGTCAGGTATTGTTCCTAACCACTTTACCTGACAGGTTATATGGCAGCGTTTACACAGGCAGCCCAATTCTGATCTTTTGCCCAATTATTCATTTTTTGACCAATCACATTATATATTTTGCTAAAAAATGCTTTCCAAGCCCTAATTACTTTAGAGGTGATATGTTGATATTCATTGTCACTTGTCTCAGTCTGATCTATTTACCTCATCCATGGCCCGGATCTCCAGACGTAGCTTGTCCATCACCGTGATAAAGAGCTGGGGTTAACAGAGGAGAAACAGAGATGAAGGACAATAATGTGTAAGCGTAACTGGCTATTTCACTGTCTGTCAGCAACCTGAAATTTACTGCAGAACAATCACACACTTTCAAATGTGTGGTCTGACAAGCTAAAAATAGGTTGTTCTGCCCCTGAGCAAGGCAGTTAACCCACTGTTCCCCGGGCGCCGATGACGTGGATGTCGATTAAGGCAGTCCCCCGCACCTATCTGATTCAGAGGGGTTGGGTTAAATGTGGAAGACACATTTCAGTTGAATGCATTCAGTTGTACAACTGACTAGGTATCCCCCTTTCCTTTCCCTTTCCTACCAGTCTGATCTTATGAAAGAGTTTGAGTGTTATATCTCTCCTATGCTGCCAGCCTATCAAGTAGTTCCTCTCTGTTCAGTGGCCCTGTTAGATCTTGGTAATTTGCTGTGGCACTTAAGGGTGCACCAACACACAGTGTTCTGGGATGAGCCAGAACATGTGTAAAATTAAGAGAATTACTTAGTGCCGGAACAGAACGCACTTTATTATTAAATCGATATTGGACCGCAAATACTTCAATGTTGGCAAAAAACTCAGTGAACCCAGCGTTTGAAATCACTCAGTCAGTGTTTAATGTCATGGGCATGGCGAAGAGACCTACCGATACGATATCGGCAATGCAGCGATTCAGGTTGCCCTTGTCATCCTTGATGGTGATTGGACGATCCTCCTTGATTCTCTCCATAGCTAGCGGGCAGTCAAGCTGATATACAAGAGAAGGGAGAGGAGAACAATATGACATTCAAACCAATGTACTCATTCACATATTGTTCTAGAGTTCAGCAGCCAGCCGATGGCTAAAGCACGTACACATCTGGGATCAGACACTATACGTTACAATGAGTGGATTACATCTATCTGCAAAAGCTGCACTCCACTCAAAGCAGTGTGACTGATATAAACTCACTCTGTACTTCCTGCAGAAGTCATCGATAGAACCCACGTCAGATCCCTGGACCTGTTTGAAAGCAGCCTTGTACTGCACCAGCAGCCTGGAGCAAGCAGCCGTGTACCTGACGGAAACACACAGTAATCAATCTAATTCTCTAATGTTGAAGCAACCTCATACAGTGCTTTCAGAAAGTATTCACACCCCTTGACTTTTTCCACATTTTGCTGTGTAACAGCTGAATTTAAAATATAATTTGTGTCACTGGCCTACACATAATAGCCAATAATGTCAGTGGAATTATGTTTAGACATTTTTACAAATTTATTAAAAATGAAAGCTGAAATGTTGAGTTAATAAGTATTCAATCCCTTTGTTATGGCAAGCCCAAATAAGTTCAGGAGTATACATGTGCTTAACAAGTCACATAATAATTTGCATGGGACTCACTGTGTGCAATAGTGTTTAACATGATTTTTGAATGACTACCTCATGTCTGTACCCCACACATACAATTATCTGTAAGGTCCCTCAGTTTAGCAGTGCATTTCAAACATAGATTCAACCACAAAGACCAGGAAGGTTGTCCAATTCCTCGCAAAGGGAGATGGGTAAAAAAAAGGAAAAAAGCAGACATTGAATATCCCTTTGAGCATGGTGAAGTTATTAATTATACTTTGGACGGTGTATGAATACACCCAGTCACTACAAAGATACAGGCATCCTTCCTAACTCACTTGCCGGAGAAGAAGGAAACCGCTCAGGGATTTCACCATGAGGCCAATGGTGACTTTAAAACATTTACAGAGTTTAATGGCTGTGATAGGAGATAACTGAGGATGGATCAACAACATTCTAGTTACTCCACAACACTAACCTAATTGACAGAGTGAAAAGAAGGAAGCCTGTACAGAATACAAATATTCCAAAACATGCATTCTGTTTGCAATATGGCAGTAAAGTAAAACTGCAAAAAATGTGGTAAAGAAATCAACTTTATGTCCTGAATAGAAAGTGTTACGTTTGGGGCAAATCCAACACAACACTGAGTACCAATTTTCATATTTTCAAGCATGGTGGTGGCTGCATCATGTTATGGGTATGCCTGTCATCGGCAAGGACTAGGGAGATTTTTTAGGATAAAAAGAAACGTAATACACCTAATTATAGGCAAAATCCTAGAGGAAAACCTGGATCAGTCTGCTTTCCAACAGACACTGGGTGACAAATTTACCTTTCAGCAGGACAATAACCTAAAACACAAGGCCAAATATACACTGGAGTTGCTTACCAAGACAACAGTGAATGTTTCTGAGTGGCCTAGTTACAGTTTTGACTTAAATTGGCTTGAAAATCTATGGCAAGACATGAAAATAGGTGTCTAGCAATGATCAACAACCAACTTGACAGAGCTTGAAGATTTTTTAAAATAATAATGTGCAAATATTGTACAATCCAGGTGTGCAAAGCTCTTAGAGACTTACCCAGAAAGACTCACAGCTGTAAACACTGCCAATGGTGATTCTAACATGTATTGGGGGTTGAATATTTAAGTAATCAAGATTAGTGTTTTCTTTTTCATAAATGTTTTACAAATGTTAGAATTGTTTCACTTTGACAGAGTATTTTGTGTAGATATTTGACAAAAAATTACAATTAAATCTATTTTAATCCAACAAAATGTGGAAAAAGTCAAGGGGTGTGAATACTTTCTGAAGGCACTGTCCATATTCAAACAAGATTTTTAGTACACACACACCTTTCTTTTACAGTCTATGACAGTGTTTCCCAACCCTAATCGTTGAATACCCCCAACAGTACACATTTCTCTTGTAGCCCTGGACAAACACACCTCATTCAACTCTTAGTTAGTTGACAAGTTGAATCAGGTGTGCTTGTCCAGGGTTACAATAAAAATGTGGGGATACTCGAGGACCAGGGTTGGGAACCACGCACACACACAACCAATGAGAGTATGTAAACTCACTCATTAGGAGTCACACAGTCTTTGATGTAAGCTTTCTCCAGGGCCTGAAGTGTCTTCACCACAGCAAACAGCTCTGCCATGTTGTCAAACCTTGATAAATACAAGCACAACGCTCAATGTTAACATCTTACCTACATGGATTGTGAATAGCGTTTATCATGAACTTACGGTCAATGTTCACTTACTTCTCTCTTTCTCTGGCATTCTTGTACAATTTTATTTCCTAAAAAACAAAACTGCATTATTTCTTATTTTGGATTTTTAAAAGCAGGTAACACTGCAGGAAACTCAAAGCCAGAGCTCCACCAAATATGCCATAAATATGCCTTTCAATTATGCAAACCCTACAAAACCCCACTTACCTCATACAATTCAGGTTTATTGGCAGGAGCTATAATGAAGATAAGTATAAAGGCATAACAGAAATGCTTTATAAGAAGACCACATCTCTTTGATGATCATGTCTATAAGATGTCTCCTAAAAAGCCTGTTGTCTTCTTTCTTTCTCATGTTCTTCTTATTTCTATTTCTCGTCTGTTTTTGTTCTACCTTGTGTTATTTTTAATGCTACATTGATATTGATTACTGCATTGTTGGGTTGGAGCTAGCAAGAAAGACATTTCACTGTACTTGGGCACGTGACATTAAAACTTGAAATAATAATAATAATAATAATATGCCATTTAGCAGACGCTTTTATCCAAAGCGACTTACAGTCATGCGTGCATACATTTTTGTGTATGGGTGGTCCCGGGGATCGAACCCACTACCTTGGCGTTACAAGCGCCGTGCTCTACCAGCTGAGCTACAGAGGACCACTTGAGTACATTTGGGCGGCAGGTAGCTTAGTGGTTAAGAGCGTAGTGCCATTAACCGAAAGGTCGCTGGTTCTAATCCCCGAGCCGACTAGGTGAAAAATCTTGTTTAAATATGTACAGTGCCTTCAGAAAGTATTCACACCCCCTTCACTTTTTCCACATTTTGTTGTGTTACAAGGTGGGATTAAAATAGATTTAATTTTATTTTTTTGTCAAAGATCTACACAAAATACTCTGTCAAAGTGAAACAATTCTAACATTTGTAAAAAATGTATGAAAAATAAAACACATATCTTGATTACTTAAATATTCAACCCCCAATACATGTTAGAATCACCATTGGCAGTGTTTACAGCTGTGAGTCTTTCTGGGTAAGTCTCTAAGAGATTTGCACACCTGCATTGTACAATATTTGCACATTATTATTTTAACCCTAATTGCTCCTTTAAGTCGCTCTGGATAAGAGCGTCTGCTAAATGACTAAAATGTAATTTGTGTCTGTCTCAGGTAAAACTTACCTCCTGCGACAGGTATTCCGTGAAACATGGTGACTGCTGCCGTTTCACAACTTGATCTATTAAAAGTAATACATGTTACAGATGTATTTCAAATACTTTAGCTATAAAATCAAAGTTAATTAATTGACTGTAAACTGTTGCTGTACAGATCTATCACGTTAGCTAACTAGCTAGCTGACACTAGTGAGAAGACAAGCAGGAAGTCCTCAATTGGCTAGCAAGCACGCAATGTAGTTATCTAGCTAGCTACACTTTGATGAATTCATCACTCGTTTAGCTAATTACATAGATTGGGTAAGGGCAATGATAAAGATAAATAGATGTCGTCAACAACAACATTCAAAGGCGATGACATTAGCTACTGTAGATATTTGATGAAAAATAAGCTAGCTAGCTAACGTTAGCTAGCTAGCATTTCCTTTGTGATTTATTTAACCAAAACAATCACTCATTTGGCACAATATATTGGCTGGATAAGTTAGGCCAGTTTACAATACACTGCTATTACGGCGATTGAAATAGTATACACATGTTATTCGACCAATACTTCAAAAATAAATCAACATTTTCTGGAAATATTTTACTCACCCCCCTTAGCAAACTGAAGTGACTTCAGTGTAAACACACCCCTCGCGGAACCAAAGGACCCACAGACGTTGCAAAATATAAGGTGCCCTTCTGTGCCTCACTTAAAATAAGTCAATTCTAAATAAGTGTTAAAATACAAAAAAATACCATTTAGAAATGTGTTACCAAATGAGGAAATGTATATTTAAATTATATTTTCTACTGACATTTTTTTATAAAGTGAGTGGAGTGTCATATGCAATATCTGGCAAGTGGCAGCCCAATTGTTTTCTGGCGCGCGAGACTCAAAAAATACATGACAAAGCTTGGCTACAAGGTAAGACTGAAAAGCAAATTAGATAGCATGTATTTTAGCTCAATTATGAAAAAATCTCTCCGCTAGTACCGCTACAAAATCTCTCTGATATACTAACTAAAGCCGGTTTATGTATTGCGTGGTTAAAGCTCAGCTTGTTTCATGACAGTCATTATTTTGTCATCCAAAGCAACCGGGGATTTCAATGCAAATCGAAGGAGGCTGATTTCCAAACGTATCATTCACGAGTCTGTCCTACCTTACCATGAAGACCTCCATAGCGCCATCTCAGGCTTCAACACAAGAGGAGTGTGGGGTTTGGCTGGACACTGTAGACCTCAAAGAAAAGGCAAAACAGGTAACGTTACTGTGCTTTTGAAAACTTCTGACTCATTGGTTCTGACCCAGCCAAAGCGCTCAACGTTTATGTTATGTCATGGAAACAAGATAGTCCACTACTATGATTCTTTATCATAATATACTATATGTTTTCCTTGCTCTGAACTTGTGGAGACAATGACTGAATACATTCCCCAATTGTCATTTAAAAAACCGTTCATTTCACATTCCAGAGAAAGCCATTGCGACCCATCTCAAAACAACTGAATCCTCTGGCCCGGTCAGGAGGTTACAGCTTAGCAGTGGCGCTGAATTTTACACAGACCAAAATCCAGATTCCTGTCACCAAACAGAGCTCTATATCCTCATTCTTTACCCCACAGCGCAAAGGTAAGCTCAGGTGCAGAGGAAGTGCTGCTTCGGTATTAGGCTGTACTTCAACAAATGGGGTCATGTCATCAATTGTTATTTACAGTAATTAATGTATTGTTACAGTGTAATATGCCAAAAGGCTCCCCATGTCACACTCTCTTACAGTGGCCCAAAATGCACCTGCGTCTCCAGAGCCAAGGACACCTTCCACCTCCACCAGATGTGCCTCGACTTCACTCAGACGTGTTAACATTGGGAGTGGAACTAAACGGAAACGTGCAGTGGGTTTAGAGTCAGGGGCACAGAGTACAGGAGCTCAACCCACCACCCTACAGATGAGCCCGGAGGGAGAGAATGTAGCAGGCTGTGAGTGGGACAGGCAAAGCTTCAGGGAAAGAGCATATTGGGAGGCCCATATGCCCCATCTTAACATGGACCATCAGTCTGAGGAGATGGAGGAACCAGACAAAAAGAGAAGGCTCTCTGGGAATTCCTCTCCCCCAGTAGAGACTGATACTCATGGGGAGGAGTGCAGTCAGGACCCATGGAGTGCCTGTAGCAGCCCACAGTTTAGTCAAGATCTAACTGAGCCATATTCTGAGGGGCAGTGTGTTCTGACACACCAGGAACTCCTTGTTGGAGTAAGGCAGGCCAGTGACTCAGGCACTGCTTTCCCGGAGAGCCTGCAGAGTGAGGGTGGATTCAGTGCTTGGCTGGGTGTGCAGGATAGAACCTCCACCCAGAAAAGGGCTGTCCCGTCTCATTTGATATCACAGCAGGTAGAAGGGAAAGAGAACGACTTATCACGATCAATGTCTTCACCATCCCCAAACAAGATGTCTCCTCCTCTCAGCCCTGTTCCCACTCACAGATGGACGGAACCACATCTTCCATCACCACAGAAACATGTTCTAAAACAGTCCATGAAACGTGTTCTAGAACAACCATTGAGAGAGTGTGAGGGAGACGCTCTTGCCATGCTGTTCACGCAGGACTCTGAGGGCTTCAGGGTGATTGCACACCGTGCTCTGGTATCAAGAAGCCCACTAAAGGACCAGACTAATGTATTAGCTAGTGGTAGAGACAGTATATTTGCTGCTGATAAAACCCTGCAGGAAGAGGAAGGAGATGAGGAGATGCTCTTCACCCAAGACTCTCAGGGAAACATGGTTATCAAACACTGACAATGTATATTCATGTGTTTGAATGTATAATGGTGCAAACGAATGAATGAAATTATGAAAATTTTAGATTTGTGTGTGTGTTGTAAATTGTAATGTAGGTTAAGGTTTCTAATGACTGGAATGTAATCACTTGTGTTGTTTGAAAACCACTTATTATGATCTTTACTTTAACACTTACAGTACCTGGATTGAAAATGCTTGAGGTTTCCAGTTTCTGAACATTATTGCTATTTTCCACCTTTATGGCACTGAATAAAAATTTACACGAGATTCTCAAGGTCAAATAAATGTGAAGACATAATAAGAAGAAGAAGACATCACATAAGTACTAAAGTTTTTATTTTATTTTGAAAAACGATAGACATTTATATACACTAAATTCACTGCTGGGTATGAATAAGAACATGTGAAAAGCACTAACAGTGTATTTCCCCATCTAAATGCTGATGCTACTTACGATGCATTTGTGTCCCAATACAAAATGCATTAAAGAAATGAAGATGCTTAATTTTCGAGGTTACAGTGGTGTATTCAGACTAACAGGTATGTATATTGACAGTAGTTCAGTACACATTGAACATGATGAAAAACATTTCTCTATGTTGATTTGTATCTAAGCATATTAAGGCTTATAAATGCAGTGCTGGTAACATTAGAGCAATCTACTGGTGGTGATGCTACAACCATATATTTGGGTTAGGCAAATGAATAAGAGATATGCAAGTTATTTGTTAAACTAGTTATCAAATGCAATTAAGCTCTCGCTATTGTTATCCTTCACTTTTTTAAACTTCCATTTCACTTTGTCAATAAAGTTTGCTTGAGTAATACTGACTTCTAGTCTGCTCTCAATGCAATATAGGCTAGTATAAAAAAAAAAATGTAGTATGCAAAAAACACCACTCCATCCTAACTCAGTGCTACCCCAGCTAGCACATAACGTTCTGAGAACCATTTGTTTCTTAAAGCTTGGCAAGAGTGTGGTTGCCCTTTGGTTATTTTGCATACAACCTTCCCACAACATTCTGGGAATGGTGCAGGATACCCAGCTAACACACAACGTTCTGAGAGCTATATGTTTCTTAGGTGGGAATGTTAGTACTCTCAACCCCATCCTGGTGGCGTAGTGGAATAATTCCATGGACAGAGAAGAGAAGATCATAGGTTTGAATTTCACTGACGCCGTGCCACAATAAAACATTTAATTGTTTGTATGTCCCCTGTAGTCCCCTGTAGCTCAGTTGGTAGAGCATGGCGCTTGCAACGCCAGGGTTGTGGGTTTGTTTCCCATGGGCCAGTATGAAAATGTATGCACTCACTAACTGTAAGTCGCTCTGGATAAGAGCGTCTGCTAAATGACTAAAATGTAAAATGTATGATTAATGCCTAAGCAAATACATGTTCATGTGTCCTATATGTGCTTGGAGTTCAAAACAGTTAAACTAAGCTAGCAGTGTTATTAGAAGTCTTATTGAAACATGTTCTCAACGTTTTTTAATTACCTTCAAATAACCTATAATTTCCGTTCTCAGAACATTAATAAAACCTTCCAGGAAAACTTTCAGGGAACCATAGTAAAATGTTCTCAGAACCTCCCTGCAACCTAAAAATGTAAGTTCCCAGAACAGGCAACATTTTTACTTCCGTTCATAGAAAGTTTAAAAAAACTTTCATTTTTACCGGTCAGGAAACGTATGGCTTCGTTCCCAGAAATAATGTGAAACCAAAATGTACGTTCCCACAACTTCCAAGGAACCAGATGTGCTAGCTGGGAGAACACTACCATGCAATATAAACATGATACAACTGTTAACTGAACAGCTAGATGTGAATAGTTTAGTATAGTAGAGTATTAAAGCAAACCAAAACATTGCATGCTAAGGCTTCAACATCTTGTGGAACATACTCTACAACTCCCTCTCAACTGACCATATAGTTTCAAACTGGCCGTTCAATTTCATCTGTGGAACATTCTCTTCATCCTACATATCATACAAATCAAAAGTCAACTCGACCTCATTCTTCAATACTTTCTGTCTCTCAAATAAAGTCACCACAACAAAGCATAAAACAACATTACAATGCCAAGTAGGACAAAATCTGAAAGTTCTCTCCAATCAAAAGACAAATCCATAATATATCCTAATACAAGGTTTGCCTTATCAGGGTAGTTCTTTCAGTTGTTAACTTGTAAAGAAGTAATTATATTGTACCCATCTGTACACATAGCCTACTTGCATAAATGCTTTTTTCGTTATGGCACACACAAGTAAGTTAAGATACCAGATACTTGTTTGAGTTTGAGAGACGTTACCTTATTTTGCATAAACAGATTTAACAGATTAACATAAAGGCAACACTTCCTCATTATTCCTAATTTTAATGCAACTTTATTTGCCAAACACAGAAGTTCTACACGAAGAAACCTGACAAAAATACTGCTTGTTTAAATAGTAGGCTTACCATAATTCTGTGGATAGTACATTCGTTTTGTGAAGGAGTGCTCTGCGACAAATAACTGAACAAACAGTTAAATGACAATCTACCATTTCAAAGTGCATGTAATCTTAATGCATACAATCAGGTGTACAATCAACTGATCTACATCTCTACTAGCCAGTCAGTCACACTGTCTGGTTTGTGTGGTACAGGATCCCTTTTATAACTTGTGAAAGCCAGCCTATAAGGGTTTGTGAAATCTTTGCCGGAGAGGGAAAATAGAGGAGATGAAGAGGAATAAATGGGGGTGATAATGATAATGAGGATGAAGTATCAGCGATCAGCCAGCAATCTCTGTGGGTTCTGTCACCAGTTTGGACCCGTCCCAAACGGTCTTGAACTGCTCAGGAACTGGGAACTCCCTCTGTTAAACAGACGATGTTAAAAATAAAACAACACTCAGACACACTCTCACTCAGTCTCATACTTACACTATCTCTCTCTCTCTCTCACACACACACACACACACACACACTAACACACACTCACATAGTCGTCGTCCTGCGGTACCAGGATGTTCATCTCGGAGCTCTTGGCGCTGACGATCTCACAGTCCAGAGCGTCCTTATTCAGGTAGACTTGGCAGCCCTCTGTCTTGTTGATGGAGATGGTGGGAACTTTACCCATCACCTGGACAAAAGTGGGGCAGAGTATCAGCACAGATACTTCCATCTTATAACTAGTCTAGGGACAGTAATTTTTCCTGACCACGTAACCTGACCAGGAAAAAACTCATGGCCCTAACTCAGAGGCACCTAACTCATGGCCCAACATAACATATAAAAATAAACGTGTCAGTACTATACATCTATGATAGGTTTATTGAAGCGTGCCAGTACTATACATCTATGATAGGTTTATTGAAGCGTGCCAGTACTATACATCTATGATAGGTTTATTGAAATGTGTCAGTACTATACATCTATGATAGGTTTATTGAAGCGTGCCAGTACTATACATCTATGATAGGTTTATTGAAGCGTGCCAGTACTATACATCTATGATAGGTTTATTGAAATGTGTCAGTACTATACATATACCTACAGTTGAAGTCGGATGTTTACATACACTTAGGTTGGAGTCATTAATCCTCATTTTTCAACCACTCCACAAATTTCTTGTTAACATTTTTATTTATTAGTTTTTGACATTTTTTGTCATTTAGCAGACTCTCTTATCCGACTTACAGTTAGTGAGTGCATACATTTTTTTTTTCATACTGGCCCCCCGTGGAAATCGAACCCACAACCCTGGCGTTGCAAGCGCCATGCTCTACCAACTGAGCTACACGGGGCTAACAAACTATAGTTTTGGCAAGTCGGTTAGGACATCTACTTTGTGCATGACACAAGTAATTTTTCCAACAATTGTTTACAGACAGATTATTTCACTTATAATTCACTGTATCACAATTCCAGTGGGTCAGAAGTTTACATACACTAAGTTGACTGTGCCTTTAAACAGCTTGGAAAATTCCAGAAAATGATGTCATGGCTTTAGAAGCTTCTGATAGGCTAATTGACATCATCTGAGTCAATTGGAGGTGTCCCTGTGGGTGTATTTCAAGGCCTACCTTCAAACCCAGTGCCTCTTTGCTTGACATCATGGGAAAATGAAAAGAAATCAGCCAAGACCTCAGGAAAAAAAATGGTAGACTTCCACAAGTCTGGTTCATCCTTGGGAGCAATTTCCAAACGCCTGAAGGTACCACGTTCATCTGTACAAACAATAGTACGCAAGTATAAACACCATGGGGCCACGCAGCCGTCATACCGCTCAGGAAGAAGACGCGTTCTGTCTCCTAGAGATGAACGTACTTTGGTGCGAAAGGTGCAAATCAATCCCAGAACAACAGCAAAGGACCTTTGGAAGATGCTGGAGGAAACGGGTACAAAATTATCTATATCCACAGTAAAACAAGTCCTATATCGACATAACCTGAAAGGCCGTTCAGCAAGGAAGAAGCCACTGCTCCAAAACACCATAAAAAAGCCAGACTACGGTTTGCAACTGCACATGGGGACAAAGATCATACCCTTTGGAGAAATGTCCTCTGGTCTGATGAAACAAAAATAGAACTGTTTGGCCATAATGACCATCGTTATGATTGGAGGAAAAAGGGGGCCGCTTGCAAGCCGAAGAACACCATCCCAACCATGAAGCACGGGGGTGGCAGCATCATGCTGTGGGGGTGCTTTGCTGCAGGAGGGACTGGTGCACTTCACAAAATAGATGGCATCATGAGGAAGGAAAATGATGTGTATATATTGAAGCAACATCTCAAGACATCAGTCAGGAAGTTAAAGCTTGGTCGCAAATGGGTCTTCCAAATGGACAATGACCCCAAGCATACTTCCAAAATTGTGGCAAAATGGCTTAAGGACAACAAAGTCAGGGTATTGGAGTGGCCATCACAAAGCCCTGACCTCAATCCTATAGAACATTTGTGGGCAGAACTGAAAAAGTGTGTGCGAGCAAGGAGGCCTACAAACCTGACTCAGTTACACCAGCTCTATCAGAAGCTTCTAAAGCCATGACATCATTTTCTGGAATTTTCCAAGCTGTTTAAAGGCACAGTCAACTGGAACCCACTGGAATTGTCATACAGTGAATTATAAGTGAAATAATCTGTTTGTAAACAATTGTTGGAAAAATTACTTGTGTCATGCACAAAGTAGATGTCCTAACCGACTTGCCAAAACTATAGTTTGTTAACAAGAAATTTGTGGAGTGGTTGAAAAACTAGTTTTAATGACTCCAACCTAAGTGTATGTAAACTTCCGACTTCAACTGTACTACTCAATTACCTCGACTAACCTGTGCCCCCGCACATTGACTCTGTACCGGTACCCCCTGTATATAGCCTCGCTACTGTTATTTTACTGCTGCTCTTTAATTATTTGTTATTTTTCTTTTTTAGTTATCTATTTTTTACTTAACACTTATTTTTCTTAAAACTGCATTGTTGGTTAAGGGCTTGTAAGTAAGCATTTTACTGTAAGGTCTACACCTGTATTCGGCGCATGTGACAAATAAAATTTGATTTGATAGGTTTATTGAAGCTTGTCAGTACTATACATCTATGATAGGTTTATTGCAGGTACATTGAAGCTGAACTTCAGGTGCAGAGAGGAAAGAGAGCAAACTGTGTGTTATTTGCTTGAACATGTATGAAATTTGAGCTGACCTGCAACTGAATGTCCTTTGAGTTGATGATTTCCACAATGCCAACAACACTGTCAAACACCAGACCAAGCTTCTTGCAGTTATCTGTCAGAGGTGAACATCATAGGAAAACATGAAATCAGTGAGGGAGAGAGATACAGGAATGATACTGTCAAAGCTGACAAAGAAATTGTCCACTGTAAATGACGTTGCAGTATACAGTGGGGGAAAAAAGTATTTAGTCAGCCACTTAGTTCTCCCACTTAAAAAGATGAGAGAGGCCTGTAATTTTCATCATAGGTACACGTCAACTATGACAGACAAAATGAGAAAAAAAATTCCAGAAAATCACATTGTAGGATTTATTTGCAAATTATGGTGGAAAATAAGTATTTGGTCAATAACAAAAGTTTCTCAATACTTTGTTATATACCCTTTGTTGGCAATGACACAGGTCAAACGTTTTCTGTAAGTCTTCACAAGGTTTTCACACACTGTTGCTGGTATTTTGGCCCATTCCTCCATGAAGATCTCCTCTAGAGCAGTGATGTTTTGGGGCTGTCGCTGGGCAACACGGACTTTCAACTCCCTCCAAAGATTGAGATCTGGAGACTGGCTAGGCCACTCCAGGACCTTGAAATGCTTCTTACGAAGCCACTCCTTTGTTGCCCGGGCGGTGTGTTTGGGATCATTGTCATGCTGAAAGACCCAGCCACGTTTCATCTTCAATGCCCTTGCTGATGGAAGGAGGTTTTCACTCAAAATCTCACGATACATGGCCCCATTCATTCTTTCCTTTACACGGATCAGTCGTCCTGGTCCCTTTGCAGAAAAACAGCCCCAAATCATGATGTTTCCACCCCCATGCTTCACAGTAGGTATGGTGTTCTTTGGATGCAACTCAGCATTCTTTGTCCTCCAAACACGACGAGTTGAGTTTTTACCAAAAAGTTATATTTTGGTTTCATCTGACCATATGACATTCTCCCAATCCTCTTCTGGATCATCCAAATGCACTCTAGCAAACTTCAGACGGGCCTGGACATGTACTGGCTTTAGCAGGGGGACACGTCTGGCACTGCAGGATTTGAGTCCCTGGCGGCGTAGTGTGTTACTGATGGTAGGCTTTGTTACTTTGGTCCCAGCTCTCTGCAGGTCATTCACTAGGTCCCCCCGTGTGGTTCTGGGATTTTTGCTCACCGTTCTTGTGATCATTTTGACCCCACGGGGTGAGATCTTGCGTGGAGCCCCAGATCGAGGGAGATTATCAGTGGTCTTGTATGTCTTCCATTTCCTAATAATTGCTCCCACAGTTGATTTCTTCAAACCAAGCTGCTTACCTATTGCTGATTCAGTCTTCCCAGCCTGGTGCAGGTCTACAATTTTGTTTCTGGTGTCCTTTGACAGCTCTTTGGTCTTGGCCATAGTGGAGTTTGGAGTGTGACTTTTTGAGGTTGTGGACAGGTGTCTTTTATACTGATAACAAGTTCAAACAGGTGCCATTACTACAGGTAACGAGTGGAGGACAGAGGAGCCTCTTAAAGAAGAAGTTACAGGTCTGTGAGAGCCAGAAATCTTGCTTGTTTATAGGTGACCAAATACTTATTTTCCACCATAATTTGCAAATAAATTCATTACAAATCCTACAATGTGATTTTCTGGTATTTTTTTTCTCATTTTGTCTGTCATAGTTGACGTGTACCTATGATGAAAATTACAGGCCTCTCTCATCTTTTTAAGTGGGAGAACTTGCACAATTGGTGGCTGACTAAATACTTTTTTTCCCCACTGTAAATCATCAAACTTAATAACAGAAATATAGTATTATCAACTCAGAAGTAATACAACAGATGGCTGAACTCACCCACAATGATGGAGTTGATCTTTCCCTTTATCTGTAGAGTAGAGTTGCTGCAGCAGAAGACATAGGCCACCTGTCTCAGCTCTGGCTCCTCGATAACCAGGTCATGAGCCTGGTCAAAGTACTCCTGTGGGGAGAAACAACAAACAAGACCTGTGACCGTATGACCTCTCTCCAGTTTGACCCTTCACCTTTGGATGACCTCATTGGGTTCAGCACCAGACATCACAATCGCCTCCGAAAAAGTACTGTCACACTAACAGCAGTCTTGGTAATTGAATCTGTGAGAAGCACCTAAACTTTCCTGACTCAACAGATATTCTTTAAGATCCTCTATGTCCTCCATTTAGATAATAGGACAACTTAGAAACCTGGCAGGTGAGGCAAGATACTAGGTAACGTACCACCCTCCATTTCTTCCCCTCCAGCTCCAGCAGTGGGGGTCGTTTCTGGGGCGGCGCTATGTTGGAGGAGCCTCCGGGATTCCGGCTCTTGGATGGGGAGGCGTGATTCTCCCCTCCCTGGGAGCGAAGGGCAGGGTTCTTATGGGTCATCTGGTCCTTTGAGACGTGCTTTAACGCTAGTGAACAGAGAGAGGATACTTACTTGTAATAAGTTATTGTTTTAGTACAAAAATGTATAACAAAATGACTAACAAATCTACATTTGAGAAACTTTGACCCTAACTGTTGTTTAATAAACACAGCATAGAAATATAATGACTATTTCTATGTCCTCACAACACAGCAACTCTCTTCAATTCTCCCTCACTTTCTCCTTCTGTTTCTCCTCCTCCTTCCTCGGCTACCTTTAGTGATGTCAGATCCCTGGTTCAGCTGGGCAGTGGTGCTCTCAGGACTCTGTAACTGTTGATTCAACCCACAACTCTCCCTCACTTTCTCCCTCCCTCCCTCCCTCTCTCCCTCCCTCCCCTGCTCTTCAACCCCTGGGTGATGGTGGCTTGGCTACCTTTAGTGATGGCTTCTCCTTGGTTCAGCTGGGCGAAGAGAGCCAAGTGCTGGGCCATGGTGCTGTCGGCCTGGGGCAGTTCACCTGTGAATACTGGTGGGGGTCCAGGGGTTGGGGGTGGTGGAGGGGGGCAGGGACCGCCAGGGGCAGGGGCGAACAGAGAGGGAGGGGCAATGGGACCCTGTGTTGAGAGATAGAGAGAGGCGTGTTACTGTCTGTGAATCAAGACAAGATGATGGTGAAGCGTTCTGGAACTACAGTTGTTGGCCAGCAGGTGGAGTATAGGACAAATAGTTGAGGGTCTTCATATTCAACTGGTTTCTTATAGCAGAGGTGGCCAACGTCAAAGCTGGGTTGGAACAAACGCCTGCAAACCCTGTCCCTCCAGCTCTCCAGGACCAGAGTTGTCCGCCCTTGGCCAATAGGAACCTTAACTATCAATGTGTCAGGGTGCTGTTCTTGATGTTTATATATGTATATGGTGAAAAGTGTAGACCTAAGGCTGGGATTCAATCCGACTGTAGGTTGTGACAATGCAGCTTTTAAAGGCAATGTTCCCGCATTCGCAAAGATCGCATTCACGGTAAACGCTGCATATGTGGGGTCAATCAGAAATGACCTTTAATGTCAAGCGTGCTATAACACGAATCTAAGGCAGATTGGATTGAATCCCAGCCTAAGTCCTGCTGCGACAGGGACTTTGGTCAACCTTTACTCCAAATGCATTTTTTCTCACTGAGAGCCTTACTGACCAAGCTAATGAGCATGAAAGTAAAGCCACCTGCCTGCCAACTCCAGGAAAGACAAGCAGACTCTCTCTCTGTCTCTCTTTGTGTCTGTCTGTCTCTGACTGCACAGCTGCCAAGGAAAGTTACACATGCTCAAACAAGCCGCAGCAACTGTACAACAACCCCCCCCCACACGCATGCACGCACACATGCACACGCACGAGCGCACACACACACCACGCATGTACCACTGCAGCCAGTGTGAGACTGATGTACTGGTGATTGGTGTCGTAGTTTATTGGAGGTTCAGCAGTCTATGAGGTCCAGCTGACAGTACTCAACCTCTGACCTGTGACATGTGTGGTACATATCATTACAAAACAACACCGTTGTATTACAGTTATCAGCTAAGCAAATGCCCAAGGGTTAAAGCTGAGTGCAATGAAATTAAGGGCTGGATTCATTCCGTATCATGGAAGATCCGCATAAAAATTGAAAGGTCATTTCCGGTTGAGCTGACATATGCAGCTATTACCGCGAACGCAGTCGCCATGAACATTGCCTTTAAATTTTAATCGAGTTATAACACAGATTTTCCACGATACTTCTGCGATACGGATTGAATCCAGAGCTGTGTGTGTGTGTGTGCACGCTCTTGTGTGTGTGTAGTTTGTGTGAATACACAACGTGTGTGTGTCTGCGTGTGAGGGTGTGTGACAGTGTGTCCCTGCCCCTCTGAACAGAAGCAGACAGATTAGATGAGAAAAAAGCCCAGTAGTTTAAGTTATGTTGTGGGGTGTGTTGGAGCAGGTGTGTAGGGCCTGAGACTCACAGGGCTTTTGTTGGGGCTTTCTTTGATGAAGAAAACCTCCATTCAAGTCCAACCTGAGGACCACCTGTCCACGCCACACAATCCTTCACACACACACACACACACACACACACACACACACGCACACACAAAAACCCTGACACCTAACGGCAGGAGGGACAGCTGACACAAAGTCACCGCACGCTGTCAGGTTTCCCTCCATACACACACACACACACACTTTCAATCCACCAAATTGTGTGACAGCCTATGTGCCTCAAAGGACCACATAGAGGATTATGGCAGATCACTGAAACAGACAGTTGCCTTGACCTGAGTTCAACACTCTTTCGGGTTTAGAGAAATGTGAAGTTTTCAAGGAGTTTTACTTTTAATTTTATTATCACGCAAAAAGCCAAACAAATAAACGCATCACTTCCACTGGATGCAGGAATATGATTTCTGATTGGATACCTGCCAGAGAGAAAAGGGAGAGGGAGAAGGGGGGAAGAGAGAGGGAGAAGGGGGGAGAAGGGGGGAAGAGGGGAGAAGGGTGAGAGAGCGGGGGAAGCTCTTCGACCCTTTCCCTTTGTCACCATCATCAAACGCTATGTATGATGTCATCTTTCCCTTTTCATCTCTATCTTTCTGAATCTTTTTCTCTTTTTCCCTTATACTCTTTTTCCTTTCTTGTCCCTTTTTCCTCTTTCTCCTTTTTCCTCTCTCTGTTCTCCTTTCCCTCCTTTTCTCCTTCTCCTTTTGTTTGAACAAAAGGACAAAGAGTAGTAGATGAAGAAAACGGAAAGCATAGGATAGAAGACTTTCACAAACAGTGGGTTGATGATGGGACGGAGGCAGGGGGTTGACTCTACAATTGCTCAATTGAGAACCACAAAGCAGCCACCAGAACACTAGGGACCAAGTCATTCATACAAGCTGGTTCTTTCGCAACTAGCTGCCTGCCTGCATAACTACACATGGAAATATACACTGTGGAGTTATTAACATGAGAAAGACATCCCAAAATGGCACCATATTCCCTATTTAGTGCACTACTTTTGACCAGAGCCTATGGGCTCTATGTAGGTAATAGGGTACCATATGGGCAGCAGCCCTATACCGCTTCAAAAATAAAACAACAGAAAACAACATCTGAGGCTCTGCTGCACATGAAAACAATTGGACGACTCCAAAATAGTCAGAGACGATTATGTCTCAAGGCGAGCTGTAATTCATTGAGTCTTGTTCCCGCCTGTTCAAACCTGCATGGCAAGCAAGGTTATAGTTAATCCATAGGGCCAGGAGCGTTTTCTGACCATGTGACCTAATCACGGAAAAAGCAGGGAATTCTGGGCCTATTTATCCAACGTCAGATAAAAGTCCTGAGAAGTCAGGCAGTGGGAACCGAGTTTTTCCTTCTCAGGTCACACAGTCATGAAAAACTCCTGGCCCTGGCCCTATTCCTCCAACAAGTCAAAGTGCTGAGGGCAGTGTTGAGGAGGTTGGATCAGGAGCTATTTGCTGCTGTAACACATAGATAATGGAATGTAGAGGGAATGCCCCACTGGACGTTGGCTAGCTAGAGGATCATAGTGCTGCTGAAGCACTGTAATATAAGACATTAACTATCCATTATATGTCTTCATGTAACTGTTTTACAGCACAGTTACAACATGATGATAACATACAGTGGAGTCCGAAATGATTTACACCCTTGATAAAGATGAGCAAAAATGACTATATAAAATAAATAATTAAAATACTCAGCTATATTTTACGCTCCAAAAAAATGGGAAATTATATTATTTTAGACTAATACAATTGTTCTGAGAAAGAGATTTTGTTTAACAAGTAGTACTGTTTTTCCCCAAAAAGGTAGGGGTCAAAATTATTGACACCCCTGTTTTCAATACCTCACCTTAACATTACAATCCACAAAGAAATTGTTAATTGCCCACAAAATCTATATTTTGCAATGGCCATCTCAGTCTCCAGACTTGAACCCCATTGAAAACCTGAAGAGCACAGACAAATGATATCAAGGATCTGGAAGGATTCTGTATGGAGGAATAGTCTAAGATCCTTCCCAATGTGTTCTCCAACTCATAAAACATTTTAGAAAAAGTCTCAGTGCCGTTATCCTCGCAAGGTGGGGTATTGAAAATTATTGAAAACAGAGGTGTCAATAATTTGACACCTACCTTTAAGAAAAAAATCTATTACTTTATTGTATTTCTCAGAGCAATTGTATTAGTATAAAATAATATAATTTCCCAATTTTTTGGAGCGTACAATATAGCTGAGTATTTTAATTATTTATTTTATATAGTCATTTTTGCTCATCTTTATCAAGGGTGTCAATAATTCGGACCCCACTGTATGTACTGTGTGAACTGAAGCGTTAGAGTTGTAGTCATAATGTGATAATATAGTTACACAGTTTAGTTAGTAAGTGATGATTACAGTGGTGGTCAGTGCCGTTTAAGATGAGGGAGGACGATGAGCATGGCCTTATTTCTTTTACAGCATATTGGATGACTCTCATTCATATTCCATTCACCCAGCTCAATGTAACAGTGATAGGATTAGGCTACTACATGATACTCACATTTTCCCTGTACCCATCATGAGGTTGCTACAATTTAGCCTATGAAGGAAAGTTTACAACGTAGGTGCACACAGATTGAGAGATAATGTTGAGGTGACAGACAGTGACACATGGACAGACAGTGACACATTCAATACCGCCTTGCACACTCTTGCCTGCATCTAGCTGATATAGGGTGTAATCATTAGTCCAAACGTTGCAAACAAGAGTTTCTATTGGACAAATTCAGGTATGTTTATCCCTGTTTTGTTCCGTTTGCTTCCATTTAAGAAACGTTTTGCAATAGAATCGGCGGAATGAACACACCCCTGATCACGCATAAACACAGTTCACTTTCATAGCAGCCACGTTGTATTCCTTCTCGCATCTATGTGCTCTCCTCCTCTCACCTTTTCCCTTAGCTTGTGGACTACAATGCACAACACACCAGGCAAAAAATACTTTCCAAGCCAGACCATATCATAACCGCTACACACAGCCTACATTGTTGTCACCATATTAGCTAAAGTAATGTCATAGTCAACATAGCTAATATAGCTAACACGTTAGTAAACCCGCTATAATCATACAGTAACGTTACAGTGTACAGTCAGTAAGCAGTTTAGCACTTACACTGGCGGGCCTGGTGGCAATAAATTAGTAAAACAAAAAGCTTGCCTTGACTTGGAAGAGTTCCAGTGTTGTGTTGGATAGACATAGCCAGCTAGCTAACATAGCATCCCTCTGTTTGAACAGTGTGTTGGAGTAGGCTAAACTAGCTAGCTGCATTTGCTAGCTAAGTAAGTGAAACTGAAAGTGATTTTTCTTTAACAAAATCTCTCTCTCTCTCTCTCTCTCTCTCTCTCTTGCTTCTCCTTCATTTTGGAAGAAATTATTTTATTCAAAACTGTTCAACTATTGTCTTACTTTCTCTTGGAGTCAACTACTCACCATATTTTATGCACTGCAGTGCTAGCTAGCTGTACCTTATGCTTTCAGTACTAGATTCATTCTCTGATCCTTTGATTGGGTGGACAACATGTCAGTTCATACTGCAAGAGCTCTGATAGGTTGGATGACGTCCTCCGGAAGTTATCATAATTACTGTGGAAGGGGGTGAGAACCATGAGCTCACTAGGTTTTGTATTGAAGTCAATGTACCCAGAGGAGGACAGAAGCTAGCTGTCCTCCCGCTACACCATGGTGCTACCCTACAGAGTGATGTTGAGGCTACTGTAGAACTTCATTGCAAAATAGTGTGTTTTAATCAATTATTTGGTGACACGTGATTATATTTAGTATAGTTTTATCTAAAAATGATACTTTGTTTATGTTTTAAAATTTGTATTTTTATTAAATTCACTGAGGAGGATGGTCCTCCCCTTTCTCCTCTGAGGAGCCTCCACTGGACTGGATGATTATTCCTGTAAATCTTAAGTGCCGCTGCTACTCACAGTCTTGCTCCAGACTAGGCCTGTTGTATGATGCTGTTTGATGAAGGCCTGAAGCTCAGTCCAGATGGATAGGTAGGACCCCACCCACTCCACATGACGCTTGTCTCTATAGAGAAAGAGATCAACAGACAGACAGAGAGAGGGAGAGAGAAAGGGTGACAAGGGAAAAGGGGGATGGATTAGGACGAATACACAGAGAGCGAAAAAGACAGACAGGTATTTTTAGTGAGCAACAATAATCTGCAAAGTTGCTAATAAGCTAAAGTTGTAATGTACCAGCATCCATACTCACAATTCTTTATACTCTTTCAGAACTCTGTTAGTGTAGAAAATGGCAGCATCATTCATCTCCTTCACATAGGGAACTGGCTTCTGGCTCTGGAAGAGAGAAGGAGAGAGAGAAGGAGAAAAAAAAGAGAGAGGTGGTTAAACAAAGCTGACCCCATGTATGAATTTAGACATCTCTGCTCTGCATTCACTGAAACATGGATATAAAAATGAGGAGTCGATTATGATGTCACCATCCATTGGGCAGAAGTGCATTAAACCACTGTGCAGTAGCCAAGAGCAAAGATATATACAGTATGTACAGACGATAGGCCAAATGTAGCTTTGGCTAGTGTAGAGCAAAGACACAAGACAATGTGGTGACATGAGCCTTCAAACAGGTTTGACACAAATCATGTGAAACAGCAGCTCCCTGGCAAACCATTGACTTGTTCTGAGAGACCACAGTTTCCGCATAGTATCGCAGTATCACAGCATCTCAAGTAGATGGGATTTGATAAATGTAATGGTCTTGAAATTATACCAAAATACAAGAGAATAGATATTTTTTTTAACTGGTAGCTCGGAAAAGCAAAGGGGAGGAATGAGCGGTCATACAAGGAAGAAGATGGCTTAAGATCACTAGAAATGGAGCCCTGTGTTGTTTCCCTATGTGAATGAGTGAGTGATGTCTCCTCACCACGGCGACCCAGCCCAGCGCTGGGATGCTCTCGCTGACAGCTGATAGGTGGTTGAATTGGCTGCTGCCACGGTTACATTCCCGGAAGTTCTGAATCTCCTGGATTTTCTCTGAGATAGGCTTCAGCAGGTCAGACAGCTCCATCTGGGAGGGAAAGAGGGGGTGGAGAGCGAGAGAGAATGCTTGTCAACAAAAACTGAACAATCTCATAGGTGGTGTCTTTTATATATATAACTGACAACATACAAATAGCCTTTATCAATTAATGTTAAGTATAACTCAACACCCATACATTCCTCTGTAATAGTGCTCTGAGCAGCTCTCACAGTGCTCTCCATAGCCTGAGTGAGAGCACCAGTCTCAATGGGCCAGTTACCTCATGCTACCCCTGTTATACAGCAGTTCCACTTAACTGCCATGCATGCCAGCTAGTCGAAGGCAGTGTGCAATTTGACTGTGATTTTATAACTGGGCAACTGGAATTTTATTAGAAGGATCCTTTTTCCATTGGAACTTCCAGATCCCTGCTAGCTTCCATCCCTCTTTCCCTCCCTCCTCCCTCTCCTCCCAGCATTCCTCTGTTCATTGGGAGATCCCTCTGGCCTTGTAAGGCACTGAGCATGTCTAATGTTTACAGTTTACCTTCACACAAATGGGAAAAGGAACGCATTGTTTCCCTAGTGACACTGTAGTACAGTTCTCTTATTTTGACCTGTACCTAAGCTGATGTTGCTATGACAATTTAACTAAATATCCCCCGTGGTGTCGATATGCTGTGGAAAAGATAAACAAATATAATAATTTCTGTTTCTTTATTTAGCTTTATTTTGAGAAAGGATGTTATTATTCTTCCGTTGCTATGACAACTGATTTAATTGCATTATGGGTTAGATATTAGCAGATATTACAGCCATTGGTTTAAGAATATATTTTCTCTTACACATACGTATTTTGATTGGCATGCTTTAAGACATTGATATGTTGTCACAATATACACACATTAAAAGCATATACTGCAGTGTGTCCCAGTGGTGCCCAACTCCGGTCCTCCAGTAACCCCAACAGCACACAGGACAATCATGCCTGATTCAACTCATTGAGGGCCTGATGATTCATTGACAAGTTGAATCAGGTGTGCTTGTCTGGGACTACAATAACAATGTGTGCAGTTGGGGGGACTCGAGGACTGGAGTTGGGAACCACTATCTTAGGTCTTCCAAACAGTGGCTTAAATACTTAAAGAGAGCCTCTCCTAGAGAATGTTTACAGATGTGGAGATGATGAAATGATGGTCAGAAGTACTGTACAGCTCTATTCCCAAGTGTATCGGTTTGATTTGAATAATTATCTTATACACTCCGACATTGTAAAATGCAGCAAACTTACTACAGTTTCTCATTGTGTGTCAGAGGGAGAGACAGAAAGAGACAACTCTTTTTTTGAGCAAATTCTTGCCCAAATCAGATGCACATGATTTTCATAAACCGAGATAGACAGTCCTTTCATAGGGAGGACCAACCTTGACAGACCTTTTACTTTCACTCTCTCCATATCCCATCGAAAACAATTAGCCTGCTAGAGGATCCTTAAAAGAAACCCCCTTCTCCATGAAATGGAGGAAATCCCTGCAAAGATAAAGTGACGCTATGACCTATACATCTGTGATGATGATAAGGCCCAGGAGGTTTACCTGACCAATACATATTTGATGATAAGGTCCAGGAGGTTTTCCTGACCAATACGGTGCATTCGGAAAGTATTCAGACCCCTTGACTTTTTCCACATTTTGTTACGTTACAGCCTTATTCTAAAATTGATTACATTTGTTTTTTTCCTCATCAATCTACACACAATACCCCATAATGACAAAGCAAAAACCGGTTTCTATATATTTGTGCACATTTATTTATTTAAAAAAAATAAAATTAAAAAAAATAACATTTCCATTAGTATTCAGACCCTTTACTCAGTACTTTGTTGAAGCATCTTTGGCAGCGATTACACCCTCAAGTCTTCTTGGGTATGATGCTACAAGCTTGGCACACCTGTATTTGGGGAGTTTCTCCCATTCTTCTCTGCAGATCCTCTCAAGCACTGTCAGATTGGATGGGGAACGTCGCTGCAAAGCTATTTTCAGGTCTCTCCAGAGATGTTAGATCGGGTTCAAGTCCGGGCTCTGGCTGGGCCACTCAAGGACATTCAGAGACTTTTCCCGAAGCCACTCCTGCGTTGTCTTGGCTGTGTGCTTAGGGTCGTTGTCTTGTTGGAAGGTGAACCTTCGCTCCAGTCTGAGGTCCTGAGTGCTCTGGAGCAGGTTTTCATCAAGGATCTCTCTGCACTTTGCTCCGTTCATCTTTCCCTAAATCCTGACTAATCTTCCAGTCCCTGCCACTGAAAAAGATCCCCACAGCATGATGCTGCCACCAACATGCTTCACCGTAGGGATGGTGTCAGGTTTCCTCCAGACATGACGCTTGGCATTCAGGCAAAAATATCAATCTTGGTTTCATCAGACCAGAGAATCTTGCTTCTCATGGTCTGAGAATCCTTTAGGGGCCTTTTGGCAAACTTCAAGCGGGCTGTAATTTGCCTTTTACTAAGGAGTGGCTTTCGTCTGGCCACTACCATAAAGGCCTGATTGGTGGAGTGCTGCAGAGATGGGAGAACCTTCCAGAAGGACAACCATCTCCACAGAGGAACTCTAAAGCTCTGTCAGAGTGACCATCTGGTTTTTGGTCACCTCCCTGACCAAGGCCCTTCTCCCCCGATTGCTCAGTTTGGCCGGGCGGCCTGCTCTAGGAAGAGTCTTGGTGGTTCCAAACTTCTTCCATTTAAGAATGATGGAGGCCACAGTGTTCTTGGGGACCTTCAATGCTGCAGAAATGTTTTGGTACCCTTCCCCAGATCTGTGCCTCGACACAATCCTGTCTCGGAGCTCTACGGACAATTCCATCGACCTCATGGCTTGGTTTTTGCTCTGACATGCACTGTGAACTGTGGGACCTTATATAGACAGGTGTGTGCCTTTCCAAATCATGTCCAATCAATTGAATTTACCACAGGTGGACTCCAATCAAGTTGTAGAAACATCTCAAGGATGATCAATGGAAACAGGATGCACCTGAGCTCAATTTCGAGTCTCATAGCAAAGGGCCTGAATACTTATGTAAATTGGTATTTCCGTTTTTTATTTGTTATAAATTTGCTAACATTTCTAAAAACCTGTTTTCGCTTTATCATTATGGGGTATTGTGTGTAGATTGATGAGGGAAAAAAATATTTAATCAATTTTAGAATAAGGCTGTAACGTAACAAAATGTGGAAAAAGTCAAGATGATAAGGTCAAGGAGGTTTTCCTGACTAATATATCTGTGATGACGATAAGGTCCAGGAGGTTTTCCAGGAGGTTTAGTCTGTGAGTACATATCTTTCAGTCTACACTACCGGTCAAAAGTTTTAGAACACCTACCCATTCAAGGGTTTTCCTTTATTTTGAATATTTTTTACATTGTAGAATAATAGTGAAGACATCAAAACTATGAAATAACACATATGGAATCATGTAGTAAGCAAAAAAGTGTTAAACAAATCCAAATATATTTTATATTTGAGATTCTTCAAATAGCCACCCTTTGCCTTGATGACAGCTTGATGACAGAAACCCCTAATTCCCTGAGTGAATCTGGACTTCCCCCGTCTCAATCATCCTCCACTTCCAATGGAGAGAGACATAAATAGCCAGGATATCTCCAGGCTATGAGTGGGTCAGGGGCCTACATTACACACCATTCACTGAGAAAGAATATCAATGAGAGAGAGAGATGGAAGAAAAAGGGGAAAGAGAAAGAAGGAGATGGAAGAGAGAGAGTTAGACAGAAAGAGAGATGATAGTGCGAGTTAGACTGAAAGAGAGGGAGAGAGATGGTACAGAGAGTTACATTTTACATTTTAGTCATTTAGCAGACACTCTTATCCAGAGCGACTTACAGTTAGTGAGTGCATACATTTTTCATACTGAGTTAGACAGAAAGAGAGGGAAAGAGATGGTACAGAGAGTTAGAAAGAGAGGGAAAGAGATGGTAGAGAGAGTTAGAAAGAGAGGGAAAGAGATGGTACAGAGAGTTAGAAAGAGAGGGAAAGAGATGGTAGAGAGAGTTAGAAAGAGAGGGAAAGACATGGTACAGAGAGCTGGACAGAAAAAGAAGGAAAGAGATGGTACAGAGAGTTGGACAGAAAGAGATGGTACAGAGAGTTAGACCGAAAGAGAGGGAGAGAGAAAGTAGAAGAGAAAAAAAGGATCAAAGCGTAGCATCAAGTTATTTGATCTGTACCATATAAGCATACTCTATCTGATACGATGGCTTGGCGTCCCCTATTCTGACATTCACTGACTGGCCAGGCTCTGAGCTATAATGACCAGGCTCTGAGCTATAATGCAAACATGAGATCAAAGCTCCCAGTGGAAAGTGACCAAGGAGAAACCAATGGTGGGATTCTACAGTGTAAAGCCTCACAGCAGAGCAGAGGGCTGTCGAGGCAAGACAGCTGTAGTGTGAGACACACACACACACACAAAGACACACAGACACACAGAGTGATAGGCCTCACGTGAGCCCAGCTTCAAACAGACACACACACACACACAAACACACACACACACACACACACACACACACACACACACACACACACACACACACACACAGGAGCGTCTCTAATATAGAACATGCCCATAAAAAGCCACAGAGCACAACTCCGGTCCGGCGGGGCGAAGAGAAAAGCCAGAGGTTTATCGGCGGCTCTGGGGTCCCTATGGGAGAGCTGTACATAGTCACAATCACTTTTCCACCAGAGGCTGCTCCAAATGGAAAACAAAGGCCATGATTGAGGTTGATATAAAACTATGTACAAGTGAAAATGTGTCCATGTCTGTGTGGTACTGTAGTAGGTGTTTCTCTAGGGGTATATTGATTGACAATTATCTTTTGTTTTGATTTGGTAAAATCAATGATTCTCCAATTTGAGAATGGTCAGTTCTGGATCATCAGTTCTGGATCGTCAGCCAAAGTCTCACAGAGATGAGGATCTCTCTACAGGCTACAGGCTCTCTACAGGCTCTCTACAGGCTACAAGCTCTCTACAGGCTACAGTCTCTCTACAGGCTCTCTACAGGCTACAGTCTCTCTACAAGCTCTCTACAGGCTACAGTCTCTCTACAAGCTCTCTACAGGCTACAGTCTCTCTACAGGCTCTCTACAGGCTACAGTCTCTCTACAGGCTCTCTACAGGCTACAGGCTCTCTACAGGCTCTCTACAGGCTACAGGCTCTCTACAGGCTACAGGCTTTCTACAGGCTACAGTCTCTCTACAGGCTCTCTACAGGCTACAGTCTCTCTACAGGCTTTCTACAGGCTACAGTCTCTCTACAGTGTCTCTACAGGCTACAGTCTCTCTACAGGCTCTCTACAGGCTACAGTCTCTCTACAGGCTTTCTACAGGCTACAGTCTCTCTACAGGCTACAAGCTCTCTACAGGCTACAGGCTTTCTACAGGCTCTTTACAGGCTACAGTCTCTCTACAGGCTCTCTACAGGCTACAGTCTCTCTACAAGCTCTCTACAGGCTACAGGCTTTCTACAGGCTCTCTACAGGCTACAGGCTTTCTACAGGCTCTCTACAGGCTACAGTCTCTCTACAAGCTCTCTACGGGCTCTCTACAGGCTACAGTCTCTCTACAGGCTTTCTACAGGCTACAGTCTCTCTACAGTGTCTCTACAGGCTACAGTCTCTCTACAGGCTCTCTACAGGCTACAGTCTCTCTACAGGCTCTCTACAGGCTACAGTCTCTCTACAGGCTCTCTACAGGCTCTCTACAGGCTACAGTCTCTCTACAGGCTCTCTACAGGCTACAGGCTCTCTACAGTCTCTCTACAGGCTCTCTACAGGCTACAGTCTCTCTACAGGCTCTCTACAGGCTACAGTCTCTCTACAGGCTCTCTACAGGCTCTCTACAGGCTACAGTCTCTCTACAGGCTCTCTACAGGCTACAGGCTCTCTACAGTCTCTCTACAGGCTCTCTACAGGCTACAAGCTCTCTACAGGCTACAGTCTCTCTACAAGCTCTCTACAGGCTACAGGCTTTCTACAGGCTCTCTACAGGCTACAAGCTCTCTACAGGCTACAGTCTCTCTACAAGCTACAGTCTCTCTACAGGCTCTCTACAGGCTACAGTCTCTCTACAGGCTCTCTACAGGCTACATTCTCTCTACAGACTCTCTACAGGCTCTCTACAGGCTCTCTACAGGCTCTCTACAGGCTACAGTCTCTCTACAGGCTCTCTACAGGCTCTCTACAGGCTACAGTCTCTCTACAGGCTCTCTACAGGCTACAGTCTCTCTACAGGCTCTCTACAGGCTACAGGCTCTCTACAGGCTACAGTCTCTCTACAAGCTCTCTACAGGCTACAGTCTCTCTACAGGCTCTCTACAGGCTACAGTCTCTCTACAGGCTCTCTACAGGCTACATTCTCTCTACAGACTCCCTACAGGCTCTCTACAGGCTACAGTCTCTCTACAGGCTCTCTACAGGCTACAGTCTCTCTACAGGCCCTCTACAGGCTCTCTACAGGCTACAGTCTCTCTACAGGCTCTCTACAGGCTACATTCTCTCTACAGGCTCTCTACAGGCTACAGTCTCTCTACAGGCTCTCTACAGGCTCTCTACAGGCTACAGTCTCTCTACAGGCTCTCTACAGGCTACAGTCTCTCTACAGGCTCTCTACAGGCTACAGTCTCTCTACAGGCTCTCTACAGGCTACAGTCTCTCTACAGGCTTTCTACAGGCTACAGTCTCTCTACAGGCTACAGGCTTTCTACGGGCTCTCTACAGGCTACAGTCTCTCTACAGGCTCTCTACAAGCTCTCTACAGGCTACAGTCTCTCTACAGGCTCTCTACAGGCTACAGTCTCTCTACAAGCTCTCTACAGGCTACAGGCTTTCTACAGGCTCTCTACAGGCTCTCTACAGGCTACAGTCTCTCTACAGGCTCTCTACAGGCTACAGGCTCTCTACAGGCTCTCTACAGGCTACAGGCTCTCTACAGGCTACAGGCTTTCTACAGGCTACAGTCTCTCTACAGGCTACAGTCTCTCTACAGGCTCTCTACAGGCTACAGTCTCTCTACAGGCTTTCTACAGGCTACAGTCTCTCTACAGGCTACAAGCTCGCTACAGGCTTTCTACAGGCTCTTTACAGGCTACAGTCTCTCTACAGGCTCTCTACAGGCTACAGTCTCTCTACAAGCTCTCTACAGGCTACAGGCTTTCTACAGGCTCTCTACAGGCTACAGGCTTTCTACAGGCTCTCTACAGGCTACAGTCTCTCTACAAGCTCTCTACGGGCTCTCTACAGGCTACAGTCTCTCTACAGGCTTTCTACAGGCTACAGTCTCTCTACAGTGTCTCTACAGGCTACAGTCTCTCTACAGGCTCTCTACAGGCTACAGTCTCTCTACAGGCTCTCTACAGGCTACAGTCTCTCTACAGGCTCTCTACAGGCTCTCTACAGGCTACAGTCTCTCTACAGGCTCTCTACAGGCTACAGGCTCTCTACAGTCTCTCTACAGGCTCTCTACAGGCTACAGTCTCTCTACAGGCTCTCTACAGGCTACAGTCTCTCTACAGGCTCTCTACAGGCTCTCTACAGGCTACAGTCTCTCTACAGGCTCTCTACAGGCTACAGGCTCTCTACAGTCTCTCTACAGGCTCTCTACAGGCTACAAGCTCTCTACAGGCTACAGTCTCTCTACAAGCTCTCTACAGGCTACAGGCTTTCTACAGGCTCTCTACAGGCTACAAGCTCTCTACAGGCTACAGTCTCTCTACAAGCTACAGTCTCTCTACAGGCTCTCTACAGGCTACAGTCTCTCTACAGGCTCTCTACAGGCTACATTCTCTCTACAGACTCTCTACAGGCTCTCTACAGGCTCTCTACAGGCTACAGTCTCTCTACAGGCTCTCTACAGGCTCTCTACAGGCTACAGTCTCTCTACAGGCTCTCTACAGGCTACAGTCTCTCTACAGGCTCTCTACAGGCTACAGGCTCTCTACAGGCTACAGTCTCTCTACAAGCTCTCTACAGGCTACAGTCTCTCTACAGGCTCTCTACAGGCTACAGTCTCTCTACAGGCTCTCTACAGGCTACATTCTCTCTACAGACTCCCTACAGGCTCTCTACAGGCTACAGTCTCTCTACAGGCTCTCTACAGGCTACAGTCTCTCTACAGGCCCTCTACAGGCTCTCTACAGGCTACAGTCTCTCTACAGGCTCTCTACAGGCTACATTCTCTCTACAGGCTCTCTACAGGCTACAGTCTCTCTACAGGCTCTCTACAGGCTCTCTACAGGCTACAGTCTCTCTACAGGCTCTCTACAGGCTACAGTCTCTCTACAGGCTCTCTACAGGCTACAGTCTCTCTACAGGCTTTCTACAGGCTACAGTCTCTCTACAGGCTACAGGCTTTCTACGGGCTCTCTACAGGCTACAGTCTCTCTACAGGCTCTCTACAAGCTCTCTACAGGCTACAGTCTCTCTACAGGCTCTCTACAGGCTACAGTCTCTCTACAAGCTCTCTACAGGCTACAGGCTTTCTACAGGCTCTCTACAGGCTCTCTACAGGCTACAAGCTCTCTACAGGCTACAGTCTCTCTACAGGCTCTCTACAGGCTACAGTCTCTCTACAAGCTCTCTACAGGCTTTCTACAGGCTCTCTACAGGCTACAGACTCTCTACAGGCTCTCTACAGGCTACAGGCTTTCTACAGGCTCTCTACAGGCTACAGTCTCTCTACAAGCTCTCTACAGGCTCTCTACAGGCTACAGTCTCTCTACAGGCTTTCTACAGGCTACAGTCTCTCTACAGGCTCTCTACAGGCTACAGTCTCTCTACAGGCTCTCTACAGGCTACAGTCTCTCTACAGGCTCTCTACAGGCTACCGTCTCTCTACAGGCTCTCTACAGGCTACAGTCTCTCTACAGGCTCTCTACAGGCTCTCTACAGGCTCTCTACAGGCTACAGGCTCTCTACAGTCTCTCTACAGGCTCTCTACAGGCTCTCTACAGGCTACAAGCTCTCTACAGGCTACAGTCTCTCTACAAGCTCTCTACAGGCTACAGTCTCTCTACAGGCTTTCTACAGGCTACAGTCTCTCTACAGGCTCTCTACAGACTACAGTCTCTCTACAAGCTTTCTACAGGCTACAGGCTTTCTACAGGCTCTCTACAGGCTACAAGCTCTCTACAGGCTACAGTCTCTCTACAGGCTCTCTACAGGCTACAGTCTCTCTACAGGCTCTCTACAGGCTACATTCTCTCTACAGACTCTCTACAGGCTCTCTACAGGCTACAGTCTCTCTATAGGCTCTCTACAGGCTCCAGTCTCTCTACAGGCTCTCTACAGGCTCTCTACAGGCTACAGTCTCTCTACAGGCTCTCTACAGGCTACAGTCTCTCTACAGGCTCTCTACAGGCTCTCTACAGGCTACAGGCTCTCTACAGGCTACAGTCTCTCTACAAGCTCTCTACAGGCTACAGGCTCTCTACAGGCTACAGTCTCTCTACAGGCTCTCTACAGGCTACAGTCTCTCTACAGGCTCTCTACAGGCTACAGTCTCTCTACAGGCTACAGTCTCTCTACAAGCTCTCTACAGGCTACAGTCTCTCAACAGGCTCTCTACAGGCTCTCTACAGGCTCTCTACAGGCTCTCTACAGGCTACAGGCTCTCTACAGGCTACAGTCTCTCTACAAGCTCTCTACAGGCTACAGTCTCTCTACAGGCTCTCTACAGGCTACAGTCTCTCTACAGGCTCTCTACAGGCTACAGTCTCGCTACAGGCTCTCTACAGCCTCTCTACAGACTACAGTAAAGATACAGGACATGAAACTATTTACCCACCCTCTTGTCCTCTCATCCCTCTCCCTTCCCCTGCTCTCTTACTCCCTTCCTCTCCCTTGTCTCCCTCTGTTTAAACCCTTCCTCCTTGTTTGTGTATCAGACAATTGGTGAATTCTCTCTCACTGCCTCTTGACCAATGACCTGCGAGATATGAGTTAATCACTTCCTGTACAGCTCTGAGCTCCCCCCTGGTTCAATACAAACTGAAGGCTGACGGGATGATAACACGTTAACCCCTCTTCCTCTCCATACCCCCTCCCTTTCACCCCCTTTCCCCCCTCCCTTCCCCATACGTGAATGCGTTGGGAATGTGTTGTATTAGCGTTCTTTTTAAAAAGGGGTAATCCTATGTGAGTGGAGCTCCGGGGCGCCGCATGGCTGCCCACTGGCCCAGCAGCACAGGAAAGACAGAGAGGAAAAGGCTGCTGCTGAAACTCTGGAAAAGGTGATCCTGAAATGGGCGATACTGAAATGGGCGATACTGAAATGGGCGATACTGAAATGGGCGATACTGAAATGGGCTATACTGAAATGGGCAGTACTGAAATGGGCAGTACTGAAATGGGCAGTACTGAAATGGGCAGTACTCAAATGGGCAGTACTCAAATGGGCGCTACTGAAATGGGCGCTACTGAAATGGGCGATACTAAAAAGGGCGATACTGCGACACTGAAATGGGTGACACTGGCTACATTAAGTAAAGGAGATACAGTTGAAGTCGGAAGTTTACATACACTTCAGCCAAATACATTGAAACTCAGTTTTTCACAATTCCTGACATTTAATCCTAGTAATGTATTCCCTGTTTTAGGTCAGTTAGGATCACCACTTTATTTTAAGAATGTGAAATGTCAGAATAATAGTTGAGAGAATGATTTATTTCAGCTTTTATTTCTTTCATCACATTCCCAGTGGGTCAGAAGTTTACATACACTCAATTAGTATTTCGTAGCATTGCCTTTAAATTGTTTAACTTGGGTGAAACGTTTCGGGTAGCCTTCCACAAGCTTCCCACAATAAGTTGGGTGAATTTTGGCCCATTCCTCCTGACAGAGCTGGTGTAACTGAGTCAGGTTAGTAGGCCTCCATGCTCGCAAACACTATTTCAGTTCTGCCCACACATTTTCTATAGGATTGAGATCAGGGCTTTGTGATGGCCACTCCAATACCTTGACTTTGTTGCTCTTAAGCCATTTTGCCACAACTTTGGAAGTATGCTTGGGGTCATTGTCCATTTGGAAGACCCATTTGCGACCAAGCTTTAACTTCCTGACTGATGTCTTGAGATGTTGCTTCAATATATCCACATAATTTTCCTTCCTCGTGATGCCATCTATTTTGTGATGTGCACCAGTCCCTCCTGCAGCAAAGCACCCCCACAGCATGATGCTGCCACCCCCATGCTTCACTGTTGGGATGGTGTTCTTCGGCTTGCAAGCGTCCCCCTTTTTCCTCCAAACATAACGATGGTCATTATGGCCAAACAGTTCTATTTTTGTTTCATCAGACCAGAGGACATTTCTCCAAAAAGTACGATCTTTGTCCCCATGTGCAGTTGCAAACCGTAGTCTGGCTTTTTTATGGCGGTTTTGGAGGAGTGGCTTCTTCCTTGCTGAACGGCCTTTCAGGTTATGTCGATATAGGACTTGTTTTACTGTGGATATAGATACTTTTGTACACGTTTCCTCCAGCATCTTCACAAGGTCCTTTGCTGTTGTTCTGGGATTGATTTGCACTGTTCACACCAAAGTACATTCATCTCTAGGAGACAGAACGCGTCTCCTTCCTGAGCGGTATGACGGCTGCGTGGTCCCATGGTCTTTATACTTGCGTACTATTGTTTGTACAGATGAACGTGGTACCTTCAGGCGTTTGGAAATTGCTCCCCAGGATGAACCAGACTTGTGGAGGTCTACAATCTTTTTCTGAGGTCTTGGCTGATTTCTTTTCATTTTCCCATGATGTCAAGCAAAGAGGCACTGAGTTTGAAGGTAGGCCTTGAAATACATCCACAGGTAGACCTCCAATTGACTCAAATGATGTCAATTAGCCTATCAGAAGCTTCTAAAGCCATAACATCCTTTTCTGGAATTTTACAAGCTGTTTAAAGGCACAGTCAACTTAGTGTATGTAAACTTCTGACCCGCTGGAATTGTGATACAGTGAATTATAAGTGAAATAATCTGTCTGTAAACAATTGTTGGAAAAATGACTTGTGTCATGCACAAAGTAGATGTCTTAACCGACTTGCCAATACTATAGTTTGTTAACAAGAAATGTGTGGAGTGGTTGAAAAACGAGTTTTAATGACTCCAACCTAAGTGTATGTAAACTTCCGACTTCAACTGTAAGTCCACATTAGATAACTCTGCTGAAGTGCAGTTGGCCCGTAGTCCTGATCCATACTAATTTGTTTTACTTGCTTTGGGTATTTGCATTCAGAACAGTCCTCCAAGCAATTGCACATATCATCCTTACCTGAGCAGGCTCCTGGTGTGTGGTGGCCATTTTGAGGAAGTTTCTCTGAAGCTGTAGTGCTTTGTTCACCATCTCCGCCTGTCAAGCACAACGGGAAAAGGTTAAAAGGTCAAATCTGAGGGCATTATAAACCACATTTCCCTCTCTAACGCACCCTGCAATGCATCGTGCTGATATAAAACTCTGCATTAGTCAGGTCCCATGAGGCATGTCCCATGTTTGGGAAAATACCTCCAGAGGAACCCATAAAAGGAGCTTTCCTAACTTAAACCCCCCCACCTCTACCCCAAACACCCCCTCCTCCTCTTCCCTCCACTGTGATGGGAGAAGGAGATTAAGTGAATGTTGTTTTACGAGGGAAAAGACCCATGAAGGAATATCCTCGCCCTATCCCCCAGTCCCATTTTCACCACAGATTGGGGCTATTTCTCTGTCATTCTGCTTTAATGCGTACTCAGTTATTTCATTCCCATTGGAAATCATGTCTCCCTTGAGAAAGGGATTTTTTCAATTGTACATCCTGCCAGTGCCTGGTATGAACAAAGGTTAAAAAGATCTGCTCTATTTTGGGAGTCGAAAGAGAATTCATCAAAGTGGTTGCCAACATGATTACTAGCCACAAACTACACCCCATCTCCCTTTGGAAAACGTCCTGACATCAGGGTGGAAAAGGTGCTTGTGTTTGCGGTTTAATATTGGAACTCAGGGTTAAAGTTCAAACACACTCCCGCCATTGGCTTTGTAGGGGACAGGAAACAGACTGTCATTTAAATCACTCTTCCTCTTCCCAGCTATCTACAGTGGTTTTTCCTGGCTGGCCAAGACCTGGACTCCACACAGTCAGACAACAACGCTCAGCTTCCCAGAGACAAGCAGATCTATGAGAGATAAACAAGGGGAATCCTCCATGCCATTATATAAAATTAGTCCCAATGACAGAGAGCTGGCAGGGGAGTGAAGTGGTCACTAAGTGCTCAACATTCCTCCATCCTTATGGTCACTGGTAGATCTAGAGAGAATCTCACTGTGTTAGAGATTATGTTAGTGATGTTAGAGTTTGGACACACCTACTCATTCAAGGGTTTTTCTTTATTTTTGCTATTTTCTACATTGTAGAATAATAGTGAAGACATCAAAACTATGAAATAACACATACGGAATCATGTAGTAACCAAATAAGTGTTTAACAAATCAAAATATATTTGAGATTTTTCAAATAGCCACAATTTGCTTATATATATATCATATCGCTGCAGAATGCTGTGGAAGTCTAAATAAATCACCAACAATATCACCAGCAAAATACCCCCACACCATCACACCTCCTCCTCCATGCTTCATGGGCTCCCGAGTGGCGCAGCAGTCTAAGGCACTGCATCTCAGTGCTTGAGGCGTCACTACAGACCCCCTGGTTCAATTCCAGGCTGTATCACAACCAGCCGTGATTGGGAGTCCCATAGGGCGGCGCACAATTGGCCCAGCGTTGTCCGGGTTTGGCCGGTGTAGGCTGTCATTGTAAATAAGAATTTGTTCTTAACTGACTTGCCTAGTTAAATAAAGGTTAAATTAAATTAAAATAAAATGGTGAGAGATCATCCGTTCACCTACTCTGCATCTCACAAAGTCACAGCGGTTGGAACCAAAAATCTCAAATTTGGACTCATCAGACCAAAGGACAGATTTCCACCGGTCTAAATGTCCATTGCTCGTGTTTCTTGGCCCAAGCAAGTCTCTTCTTCTTATTGGAGTCCTTTAGTAGTGGTTTCTTTGCAGCAATTTCACCATGAAGGCCTGATTCACGCAGTCTCCTCTGAACAGTTGACGTTGAGATGTGTCTGTTACTTGAACTCTGTGAAGCATTTACTTGGGCTGCAATCTGAGGTGCAGTTAACTCTAATGAACTTATCCTCTGCAGCAGAGGTAACTCTGGGTCTTCCTTTCCTGTGGCGGTCCTTATGAGAGCAAGTTTAATCATAGCGCTTGATGGTTTTTGCGACTGCACTTGAAGAAACTTAAAAAAGTTATTGACATTTTCCGGATTGACTGACCTTCATGTCTTAAAGTAATGATGGACTGTCGTTTCTCTTTGCTTATTTGAGCTGTTCTTGCCATAATATGGACATGGTCTTTTACCAAATAGGGCTATCGTCTGTAGACCACCCCTACCTTGTCACAACACAACTGATTGCCTCAAACACATTAGGAAGGAAAGAAATTCCACAAATTAACTTTTAAGAAGGCACACCTGTAAATTGAAATGCATTCCAGGTGACTACCTCAGGAAGCTGGTTGAGAGAATGCCAAGAGTGTGCAAAGCAGGTTGGCTACTTTAAAGAATCTCTAATATAAAATATATTTTGATTTGTTTAACACTTTTTGATGATTCCATATGTGTTATTTCATAGTTTTGATGTCTTCACTATTATTCTACAATGTAGGAAATAGTAAAAATAAAGAAAAACCCTGGAATGAGTAGGTGTGTACAAACTTTTGACTGGTACTGTATACATCAGGGATCATCAACTAGATTCCGCCACGGGACGATTTTTTCTTGAGCGGATGGTCAGGGGACCAGAACATAATGACAAATAATTTGTAGACTTCAAATTGACCACAAGAAGAACATGTATAATATTAGAATAAACCATAATTATTTCAAACCTTGCTTACATTTGCATACGATCACATATATCTCTCTATTATACGTGGGTATAATATAATAGATTTGCTGGTGTTTTTACAGTCTTTTATGTCCAACAATAACATTTTGCTCTGAAAACTTGGGAGGCCAAATAAAATCACCCGCAGTCCACCAGTTGGGGAACCCTGATATACAGTATCATGAATTAAAGTTACACACTGAGTTTCACTTAATGGAAGTAGAATAGTAGCCTGTGAGAACAGAGTAGGTGACTTTCTGAGACAGCAGCTATGAACCGCCCCATGTCTGAGACAGCAGCTATGGACCGCCCCCTGTCTGAGACAGCAGCTATGGACCGCCCCCTGTCTGAGACAGCAGCTATGGACCGCCCCCTGTCTGAGACAGCAGCTGTGGACCGCCCCCTGTCTGAGACAGCAACTATGGACCGCCCCCTGTCTGAGACAGCAACTATGGACCGCCCCCTGTCTGAGACAGCAGCTATGGACCGCCCCCTGTCTGAGACAGCAGCTATGGACCGCCCCCTGTCTGAGACAGCAGCTATGGACCGCCCCCTGTCTGAGACAGAAGCTATGGACCGCCCCCTGTCTGAGACAGCAGTTATGGACCGCCCCCTGTCTGAGACAGCAGCTATGGACCGCCCCCTGTCTGAGACAGCAGCTATGGACCGCCCCCTGTCTGAGACAGCAGCTGTGGACCGCCCCCTGTCTGAGACAGCAGCTATGGACCGCCCCCTGTCTGAGACAGCAGCTGTGGACCGCCCCCTGTCTGAGACAGCAGCTGTGGACCGCCCCCTGTCTGAGACAGCAGCTATGGACCGCCCCCTGTCTGAGACAGCAGCTGTGGACCGCCCCCTGTCTGAGACAGCAGCTGTGGACCGCCCCCTGTCTGAGACAGCAGCTATGGACCACCCCCTGTCTGAGACAGCAGCTGTGGACCGCCCCCTGTCTGAGACAGCAGCTATGGACCGCCCCCTGTCTGAGACAGCAGCTATGGACCGCCCCCTGTCTGAGACAGCAGCTATGGACCGCCCCCTGTCTGAGACAGCAGCTATGGACCGCCCCCTGTCTGAGACAGCAGCTGTGGACCTCCCCCTGTCTGAGACAGCTGGTGTGTGTGTGTGTGTGTGTGTGTGTGTGTCTGTAAGTGAGAACGTTTGAGGGATTTGGGGATTGAGGAGGAGACTTTGTGCTCCTAATGGCACAGAGCCATTTCCCATTTGCAGCCTTTGCGAGACGCCACTCAAACGCACTTAAGGAGAATCAGTCACACGCATAATCACGCACGCACGCACACACTCCTGCCACTCACATGGTTCTCCACATCGTCTCCTATGGCACGGCTATTCTTCAGGTACTCTGACACTGGCCCCATCAGCAGCAGGTCAAAGGCGTCCATACACTGGGACAGACCTGGAGAGACAGGAGTGGAGGAGAGGAAGAAGGGAGGAAGCAGGAGAAGACAATGAGCATAGTGGAGAGTTCAGGAGTTCTGGTATCTTTTCATAGTTTTACATACAGTATTACATGTTCATAAACGTTCATTGGATAAAGTAGTTCCCAGTTGAACCTAGAACCTCCTTGAACCTTAAACATTGAACCTCCTGGTTACTCTGCCTCACTACCCAATGCTAAACACTGCTGTCGTAGCCTGGACCATGAGAATTCTACAACTCACCTCCGTTGATCCCGTTACTGTCCCCGTTGGCCATGCCATTGGACACCTGCATGTTGACAGACACCTGCTCTAGGCGAATCACGGCCTTCTCCAGCTGCTGCACTAACGTTTCCATGGTGGCGGCCCTAGAAGGAAGTGGAGAAAGTCTGTAGCCATGGCTGGCCCTGTCAAAGAGCCTGGGGCTATAGCCATGGCTGGTCCTGTCAAAGAGCCTGGGGATATAGCCATGGCTGGTCCTGTCAAAGAGCCTGGGGCTGTAGCCATGGCTGGTCCTGTCAAAGAGCCTGGGGCTATAGCCATGGCTGGTCCTGTCAAAGAGCCTGGGGCTATAGCCATGGCTGGTCCTGTCAAAGAGCCTGGGGCTATAGCCATGGCTGGTCCTGTCAAAGAGCCTGGGGCTATAGCCATGGCTGGTCCTGTCAAAGAGCCTGGGGCTATAGCCATGGCTGGTCCTGTCAATGAGCCTGGGGCTATAGCCATGGCTGGTCCTGTCAAAGAGCCTTAATATGTCCATCACTGGCGCTGTAGCCAGGGCTGGTCAATCAATCAATCAAATCAAATCACATTTTAGTCGTCACATGCTTCGTAAACAACAGATGTAGACTAACAGTTAAAAGCTTACTTACTGGCCCTTCCCAACAATGCAGAGATAAATGTTTTAATGAAATAATAGAAAAATAAAACACGAAATAATAAAAGTAATAATAAATACACAATGAGTAACAATAACATGGCTATATACATGGGGTCAAAAAAGTTAGTGCAAAAAGGGTCAATGCAGATAGTTAACCAAATAGCTAGTCAGACTATTTAACTAACTATTTAGCAGTCCTATGGCTTAGGGGTAGAAGCTGTTCAGGGTCCTGTTGGTTCCAGACTTGGTGTATCGGTACCGCTTGCCGTACGGTAGCAGAATGAACAGTCTATGACTTGGGTGGCGGGAGTCGTTGACCATTTTTAGGGCCTTCCTCTGTCACCACCTGGTATAGAGGTCCTGGATGGCAGGGATTTCGGCCCCAGTACACTCTGTTGCGCCAAGCAGTTAATATACCAAGGGATGAGGCATTGTCGTGCCCTCTTCATGACTGTGTTGTTGTGTTTGAACAATGATAGATCCTTAGTGATGTGGACACCAAGGAATTTAAAGCTCTCGACCCGCTCCACTACAGCCCTGTCGATGTTAATGGGGCGTGCTCGGCCCTCCGTTTCCTGTAGTCCACGATCAGCTCCTTTGCCTTGTTGACGTTGGTCCTGTCAATGAGCCTTAATACAGTGGGGAGAACAAGTATTTGATACACTGCCGATTTTGCAGGTTTTCCTACTTACAAAGCATTTAGAGGTCTGTAATTTTTATCAGAGGTGCACTTCAACTGTGAGAGACGGAATCTAAAACAAAAATCCAGAAAATCACATTGTATGATTTTTAAGTAATTCATTTGCATTTTATTGCATGACATAAGTATTTGATCACCTACCAACCAGTAAGAATTCCGGCTCTCACAGACCTGTTAGTTTTTCTTTAAGAAGCACTCCTGTTCTCCACTCATTACCTGTATTAACTGCACCTGTTTGAACTCGTTACCTGTATAAAAGACACCTGTCCACACATTCAATCAAACAGACTCCAACCTCTCAACAATGGCCAACACCAGAGAGCTGTGTAAGGACATCAGGGATAAAATTGTAGACCTGCACAAGGCTGGGATGGGCTACAGGACAATAGGCAAGCAGCTTGGTGAGAAGGCAACAACTGTTGGCGCAATTATTAGAAAATGGAAGAAGTTCAAGATGACGGTCAATCAACCTCGGTCTGGGGCTCCATGCAAGATCTCACCTCGTGGGGCATCAATGATCATGAGGAAGGTGAGGGATCAGCCCAGAACTACACGGCAGGACCTGGTCAATGACCTGAAGAGAGCTGGGACCACAGTCGCAAAGAAAACCATTAGTAACACACTATGCCGTCATGGATTAAAATCCTGCAGCGCACGCAAGGTCCCCCTGCTCAAGCCAGCGCATGTCCAGGCCTGTCTGAAGTTTGCCAATGACCATCTGGATGATTCAGAGGAGGAATGGGAGAAGGTCATGTGGTCTGATGAGACAAAAATAGAGCTTTTTGGTCTAAACTCCACTCGCCGTGTTTGGAGGAAGAAGAAGGATGAGTACAACCCCAAGAACACCATCCCAACCGTGAAGCATGGAGGTGGAAACATCATTCTTTGGGGATGCTTTTCTGCAAAGGGGACAGGACGACTGCACCGTATTGAGGGGAGGATGGATGGGGCCATGTTTCGCGAGATCTTGGCCAACAACCTCCTTCCCTCAGTAAGAGCATTGAAGATGGGTCGTGGCTGGGTCTTCCAGCATGACAACGACCCGAAACACACAGCCAGGGCAACTAAGGAGTGGCTCCGTAAGAAGCATCTCAAGGTCCTGGAGTGGCCTAGCCAGTCTCCAGACCTGAACCCAATAGAAAATCTTTGGAGGGAGCTTAAAGTCCGTATTGCCCAGCGACAGCCCTGAAACCTGAAGGATCTGGAGAAGGTCTGTATGGAGGAGTGGGCCAAAATCCCTGCTGCAGTGTGTGCAAACCTGGTCAAGACCTACAGGAAACGTATGATCTCTGTAATTGCAAACAAAGGTTTCTGTACCAAATATTAAGTTCTGTTTTTCTGATGTATCAAATACTTATGTCATGCAATAAAATGCAAATTAATTACTTTACAATCATACAATGTGATTTTCTAGATTCCGTCTCTCACAGTTGAAGTGTACCTATGATAAAAATTACAGACCTCTACATGCTTTGTAAGTAGGTAAACCTGCAAAATCAGCAGTGTCTCAAATACTTGTTCTCCCCACTGTATGTCCATCACTGGAGCTGTAGCCAGGGTTGGTACTGTCAATGAGCCTTATAAAGGGAATAAATAGGGTGCCATTTGGGGATACGCAATCAGAGTTTATCTGAGGAGTGAGCCTTATAAAGGGAATAAATAGGGTGCCATTTGGGGATACGCAATCAGAGTTTATCTGAGGAGTGCCGATTCAGTTTCCTGGACCTCAACTTCTGCTACCCATCAATTATATCACATCATGCACACCATACCATAGGTGTATCATGACATGGGTCATTGGTCATGGCTGATTCCTGTTGAGTGGTGTGTCGAGTCTAGATTAAGTAAAGGAGAAGTTATCGAAGGAGAGCAGGCCTGGGTTCAAATACTATGTGAATCATTTTTAATGCTTTCTCTGTGCTTGATTGAGTGTGCCTGGGTTAATGAATCAATAGAATAGTAGCCTGTAAACCCCACCTATCTGGCACTCCAGGCAGGCTAGAGCAAACGCTCAAAGGTATTTGAAAGATTTTGAATAGAATTTGCACCCAGGTCTGAAGGAGGGTCAGTTCAGTCGCCACAGAGCCACACCTTCAGCTGGATGCTGCTCTAACTACTGGAATGTCACTAGCTATTAGATTATCCAGGGACAGGAACAGAGGCAGAGCTAAGATATCTGTTAGAGGGGTGGACAAACTAAGTCACAAAGGTGACAGTACAGAGTAAATATATACTGTCTGACTTTTATTTCACAGACTTCTGAAGAAGCGAGAATCCCATTCCACTAGATGTGTTTTTATTCCAAACTTTTGTCATTCTCCAAGACTCAAGATATCATAAATCCTACACTACGGTAGGCTACACACAAAGGAAAGTATTAAATCAAATAAAATGTTATTTGTCACATGCGCCGAATACACCAAAAGTTATTTATAGTGCAGTTGACTCCATCCACTTCACTATTAATCAGAATTATATCATGCTTACAGATACAGATCATTTGTACAGATACAGAAGAGGGTTTGGGTCAGGTTTTAGTGTAGAGTTAGGGTAAGGGTTTACTGAATTCTAAGGATGTAGCTATGTATCTGAACATTGTGTACATTACAAAGATACGAGTTGTGTCCCAAATGGCATTTGATTGACAGGAGGTCAAGTGTAGAAGATGGATCTACTTCTCCTCTCTATCAGTTATCTGAATGAACGGGGACGTCAAAACTACGGTACACATTACTTCACCTTTCATTTCCTTCTCTACTTTCATTAATTCAGTCTTCAAACACTAGTGATCAAGAAAGAAAGATAGAAGGAAAGAAAGAAAGAAAGATGCATTTAAAGCATATTCAATCTATTATGTAAAACAGTGAGGCTGAAATAAACAGCACACACAGCTTTTAATACTTTCCTTTGTGTGTAGCCTACCGTAGTGTAGTCTATGCCTGATTTGTGATATCGTGAGTCTTGGAGAATGACACAAGTTTGGAATACTTAGAGAAACAGTACATTGCTTTCAGTCAGAAATAATAGAAACATAATAACACGAGGAATAAATACACAATGAGTAACGATAACTTGGCTATATACATGGGGTACCAGTACCGAGTAATTGAGGTAGATACACTACAAGACCAAATGTATGTGGACACCTGCTCGTCGAACATCTCATTCCAAAATCATGGGCATTAATATGGAGTTGGTCCCCCCTTTGCTGCTATAACAGCCTCCACTCTTCTGGGAAGCCTTTCCACTAGATGTTGGAACATTGCTGCGGGGACTTGCTTCCATTCAGCCACGGGAGCATTAGTGAGGTCGGGCACTGATATTCGGCGATTAGGCCTGGCTCGCAGTCAGCGTTCCAATTCATCCCAAACGTGTTCGATGGGGTTGAGGTCAGGGCTCTGTGCAGGCCAGTCAAGTTCTTCCACAACAATCTTGACAAACCAATTCTGTATGGACCTCGCTTTGTGCACGGGGGCATTGTCATGCTGAAACAAGAAAGGCTCTTCCCCAAACTGTTGCCACAATGTTGGAAGCACAGAATTGTCTAGAATGTCATTGTATGCTGTAGCGTTAACATTTCCCTTCACTGGAACTAAGGGGCCTAGCCCGAACCATGAAAAACAGCCCCAGACCATTATTCCTCATCCACCAAACTTTACAGTTGGCACTATGCATTGGGGCAGGTAGCGTTCTCTTGGATTCCGCCAAACCCAGATTTGTCCGTCAGACTGCCAGATGGTGAAGCGTGATTCATCACTCCAGAGAACGTGTTTCCACTGCTCCAGAGTCCAATTGCGGCGAGCTTTACACCACTCCAGCCGATGCTTGGCATTGCGCATGATGATCTTAGGCTTGTGTGCGGCTGCTCGGCCATGGAAGCCCATTTCATGATACTCCCGACGAACAGTTATTGTGCTGATGTTGCTTCTAGAGGCAGTTTGGAACTCGGTAGTGGGTGTTGCAACCGAGGACAGACGATTTTTACGCGCTACGCACTTCAGCACTCGGCGGTCCCGTTCTGTGAGCTTGTATGGCCTACCACTTCGCGACTGAGCCGTTGTTGCTGCTAGACGTTTCCAATAACAGCACTTACAGTTGACCGGGGCAGCTCTAACAGAGCAGAAATTTGACAAACTGACTTGTTGGAAAGGTGGCATCCTATGACGGTGCCACGTTGAAAGTCACTGAGCTCTTCAGTAAGGCCATTCTACTGCCAATGTTTGTCTATGGAGATTGCATGTCGGTGTGCTCGATTTTATACACCTGTCAGCAACGGGTGTGGCTGAAATAGCCGAATCCATATAATATTTGAATATTAGGATGAGCTATCTGCTACAGTAGGATCTAGCAGGTAGCATATTCACCAGGGAGCTGTAGCCTGCAGCAGGCCTCAAACTAGCAGTCCTGTGAGTTCACTAATTCATTGGTGGTGGATGGGAGGTGCAGCCTGGGCTTAATCTGTTAATTACTCTAGAGAATTCTCCCAGCAGTGCCAAATGTCTAACATGGGCTTCACTGTATATTTCTGTGGGCTGCCTGACAGTACAGGGCGCTAGAGAGTCTGGAGCCAGCCACTGGAGACCTCTGGGTTTGGTTTGAGGTCTTCAAACTGGATGTTTGAGAGATATTCAGACACCCTTGGAAGACAGTGTAAGTTGAAAAATAAATATGTCTTCATTGTTAAAAACCAATGTGTTATGGCAATGTAACTTCATCAAAGTGACTCCTTCAAATATATATTTGGACTGTGTAGGGTAATGACTGATAGGTGGCGGTGTTCTCTAAGTACTGATCCTGAGTCCATTTTTGTGCTTGTGCTCCAATGGGTGAGATAAGGTAAGATGCAGGGAAAGCTGATCTTAGACCAGTGCTCACTGGCATACATTACGCTGAATATCTGATCAAAGAGTGTACAGATGTAGGATCTTAATTTGACCAGTTTCTCACATCAGGCAAATAATCCTGCAGCAACAGGAAATGTGAATTATTGTGTGAATTATGGACCTTTGTGTAGGGGTTGACATTTTTTGTTAGGGCAAATTAAGTCCGATTTTTTTGTGTGGAAATTACAAACGTTTGAAGTCTTTTTAAACCTTAAATACACTAAGTTTGCGCTTCCTGCAACAACATGGTGATCAAATTAAGATTATATTTATTCCAAAATATCAAGATGTGCTTTGTTGTAAATAAAAACATTTGACAAGCCTTGCAACGTGCTATAGAACAGAGTAGTCTGACACTGTATTTTCCCAAGCCCTAATTCATCATTAGTTTTCCCTGGAAGATATGTTGAAAACATTAACATTGAAAACTGAGTGAAAGCAACAGCTAGAATCTGGCACAGTATGACTTGATTAGCATCTCTTCAACATTGTGAGTTGGCCAAAGTGTCCATGGCGATCGAAATGTATGGGGAATTACATTGTTACCTCTTTCGCTGTTGGACTCCAGCTATACAGTGTTACAATACGTTATTTGTATACAGTGATCGAGGAGGAAGAGCCAGCACAGGATTTGAACCCGCAACCCTGTGGTTAGAGGTTTAGAGAATTATATACTGGAGGCACCATAAGGAATATTGTTTTCGTAGCAAACAAAGCACCTAACAATTGTCTGACCAATGGGGAGGGATTTAGACCCAACAGCTGTGAAAGCAGACATCGGTGGTGTGTTATTATTCTACTGAAATGAGAATGGCATTATACTCCAAGATCACCATGGGGCCTCATAAACTCTATGCCCTGGGTATCTGATCTCAGGGCTATATTGGGCCCCTGCTTCAAGTTAGTGGTGGTGATATACTGTAATCTATTCTAAGTCTTAAGGTTCTATGGTTGGTGCTTGATAGGCCCCCTCTAGGCTAAGGACCATATATTTCTTAGACATGATGATGGGCCTTCTACCTGGAGATCTGGAAACTCTTATAGTTATAGGGCTTATGAATAGTACATTTGAGAATGTGAAAATAATCATAAAGGCTTACATGTGAGAATTGAAAAATGTTCATAATCAGTTAGATAATATTTGGACAGCATTAAACTGTGTCAACATTCATAATGTTCCCAAAAGGTTCATTCAAGGTTGGTGTGACACAGGTGCACTGATTCTGTGTGAGAACTATAGTATGTTGCGTTTGCGTGCTCACTTCATAGATAGTAGGTATGAGAGGTATGACAATAGCATCACATTACATAGGCATACTAAAAACGGTTATGGGCTCGGCGCCACACATGACACCACAATAATAATACAACTATGTTGACATGTCATCCTTCCAGTTTCATCCTGCGTCATTGGCATGCTGCATTGTATAGGCTACCGTTGTCATCACATACACCAACTGCAATGACATCGACATACATTTATGAAATAAACTCAGAGGAAAATATTACAATTCTTATAGTCTAGCAGTAACGGTAGCCTATTTGACGCCCTACACGTTTTCCGGAAAACGTTGAAACGCCGCGAATACGCAATGATGTAACTAGCCATACAAAACACAAAGACAAGACACACAGACCGCACACAAAGAATATGAAAAGGGCGATTGTTCAGACCTTTGTGGTTATCGGTGTCTTCTTTTCTCCTGCCAACACAACGAATAGAATAACCGCACGCGTTTCAATGAGGCGAGCCAGCTACAAACGTGCCGCCCTGGCCCCCGCCTCCCTGCACCACTCCCTCCCGTTCCCATCTCGTCAAAAACATTACAGTCGGTTGAAAACAAACTAACCAACAAAGTAACATATTTACCTTCGATTATAGGTCCCTATCAAATCCTGGCGTACTGTTTTCTTTCGCTTTTGTAATATGCCGGGCAAGATTCGTCCCTGGGTCTTCCGCTGTACCCAGCCTCCCTGTCAATCAATCGCGCAGATAACTCTGAGCTTCCGGGACTTCCAAAATAAGCAACATTGGTGAACCTGAGAACTTAGTGGAGTAAGTGGACCACTGGCAAAGTACCAGTTGGTGCCTCCAATCTTCTTCTGCCCCCCTACCCGGTCTTGAGAAGCAGTAGCGGGATCCCCAGACACCTAAATATGGAATGTCTGATTGAAATCTAATGTTGTGTAGGCAGGCTAGCAATGGACTTGCCCATGACTCAAGGGAGAAAGCACTATAGCCTAGTTTCTCCATAGTGCTGGGGGGATAATCAAATTCTAAAAGCTTGTCATCATCATCACCACCACCACTACCATCATCATCATCATCATCACCACCACCAACACCATCATCACCATCATCATCATCACCACCACAACCACTACCATCATCATCATCACCACAACCACTACCACTACCATCATCATCATCACCACAACCACCACCAACACCATCATCATCATCACCACAACCACCACCAACACCATCATCATCATCACCACCACAACCATCATCATCATCACCACCACCACTCCAAAATCACAAGGTTGGGGATCATTCTGCACTGATATAATCACTGGTTATAGCTAGTTCACGTCAACTCAAATAAACTGTGGGCGAGTTTCAACAGGGCTATTCACCGTGACCCTGATCATGTTAACGGCGCCTTCTACTCTCTGACTGTCATATCCCAATTCACAACCTGCCTCTGAATTCCATCATGGCGGACGTCAGATGCCATGGAAGCCATAGTGATGTCATGTGAAAGGCCTCTATCTCTGCTGTGTCATGGCAGCTGCCTGGGCCTGGCTGACCAGCGTCTGGTTACACTGCAGGCTGAAATAGACCATATTCTGTCCCAAATCACACCCTGTTCCCTATGAAGTGCAATACTTTTGCCAGGGCCCAATGGGACATAGCCCATGCTGCCTCCGTGCCAGGTTAGGGAGGAAAGGGTAGGGAGGTACGTATTGCAGCCAGCATCTAGGCCTCTTGGCATCTTTTATTGATTAGAAAGCCTCTGAATTATTTATATGCTTTCCCAGAGGACTCCATTCTCTAACTCTCTGCTTCCAGACAGGTTTGTTTGAGTGTGAAGTCAATGCTTGTCCCACGTCATCGACGGCCCGGCTAAAATGGTGGAGGGGCCTTGGGTGACAGTGTTACACAATGACGAGCAGCAGCATACCAGGCAGCCGACACCCAGCGGACATTTTGTGTGTAATCTCATAAGGCTCCTGACTGCCTACTGGCTGCTCTGTGGTCACTCGCACACGCACACACACTCGCACGCACGCACGCATGCACGCACACACACACACACACAGTGAAAAGTTCTCAGCTACCTCACCCAACTAAACTAAGAGCATTGTTTTTAAACACCAGTCCCCCAAAATGTTTTACAACCATATTAACAGCTTTGGTTATGTTTTATGTTTATGTTTGCACAAAAAGACAGCAAGTCTGTTTATAGTTGTTTAATAGACATCAACAGCTTTGGCAGCTACATATTTCATACCTAATTTGTTCTGGAGACTATCAATGGTCTCAGGCCTCCATACTAAGGCCCACAAAAAGACACCCAACCTGAAAACAACATAAATTCAACATCAACTCAACATCAACTCAACATCCTACATCCATCTTAAATAAAAACAACAGTATTCTGTTTAAATATAGAACCTTTTATTTCAATTTAGAGTAAATAGTGTTGAAATTCTGAAATAAAGTTTTAATACCAACAGGACCTTTGCATTTAAATATAGTAAATAACACTTTACATGCCTTAATCCAGTGACAATGAAAAACTTCCTTTAAAAAGTTTTTTTTGGTCATTTATTTTCCATATTTTCCCTTGTAAGAAATAGTTCAAGTATAAAAATTCCCAACAGTGTAAAATAGCCCATCTGATGTATATTAAAAGCAATAGAAGCACAGCTTTCTGAACCATGACAATGACTATACATTCTAATGTACTGTAAAAGCAGCATTTTGCTCATTTTTGTCAGGATTTTTTTTGTCTTTTCCAACAGTTCTAAACACAAGAGGCAGAGTAACAGTCTGCACGCAAATAGGCCTGCATTTAAATAAAGTTTCATACAAAAGGCATTAAACTAACCAATATTTAATGTCACGTTCTAAGATTTCAAAAAGCAAAAAGTATAATTGTACAGTGCACATACAGAATTGTATCGTATATAATTCCTACATCAACATTTTTGGTTGAGTATGTTAATAATAATTATAATACAACTAAATCTACTCAATAACTTATATGCCTTGAGATGAATACATAATCATATTAATACAGTACCGCCACTAAGTCTCTGTCCTTAGAGCACATAGAACATAGTCCAATCTCAAAATAAATATCTTAAATAGTAGATCTCCTTTCTTACTCTCTTAAATAGCAATACAAATGTAAGGCACACGAAGAACCCATAGATTCATATGTCAAGCACCTGCAGTCCACCCCCACCCCCCCCCCTACATCCCCCATCACCACTCCAGGGTACAGGGCCATGGGGTTGGTGAGGCTGTGAGGAGTGGGTACAGGGCCATGGGGTTGGTGAGGCTGTGAGGAGTGGGTACAGGGCCAGGCGGTTGGTGAGGCTGTGAGGAGTGGGTACAGGGCCAGGCGGTTGGTGAGGCTGTGAGGAGTGGGTACAGGGCCAGGGGGTTGGTGAGGCTGTGAGGAGTGGGTACAGGGCCAGGCGGTTGGTGAGGCTGTGAGGAGTGGGTACAGGGCCAGGGGGTTGGTGAGGCTGTGAGGAGTGGGTACAGGGCCAGGCGGTTGGTGAGGCTGTGAGGAGTGGGTACAGGGCCATGGGGGTTGGTGAGGCTGTGAGGAGTGGGTACAGGGCCAGGCGGTTGGTGAGGCTGTGAGGAGTGGGTACAGGGCCAGGGGGTTGGTGAGGCTGTGAGGAGTGGGTACAGGGTACAGGGCCATGGGGTTGGTGAGGCTGTGAGGAGTGGGTACAGGGCCAGGGGGTTGGTGAGGCTGTGAGGAGTGGGTACAGGGCCAGGGGGTTGGTGAGGCTGTGAGGAGTGGGTACAGGGCCATGGGGTTGGTGAGGCTGTGAGGAGTGGGTACAGGGTACAGGGCCAGGGGGTTGGTGAGGCTGTGAGGAGTGGGTACAGGGTACAGGGGGTTGGTGAGGCTGTGAGGAGTGGGTACAGGGCCAGGCGGTTGGTGAGGCTGTGAGGAGTGGGTACAGGGCCAGGGGGTTGGTGAGGCTGTGAGGAGTGGGTACAGGGCCAGGGGGTTGGTGAGGCTGTGAGGAGTGGGTACAGGGTACAGGGCCATGGGGTTGGTGAGGCTGTGAGGAGTGGGTACAGGGTACAGGGCCAGGGGGTTGGTGAGGCTGTGAGGAGTGGGTACAGGGTACAGGGCCAGGGGGTTGGTGAGGCTGTGAGGAGTGGGTACAGGGTACAGGGCCATGGGGGTTGGTTAGGGTTAGGATAGGAGGGCAGTGTGTGTACCTGACACCAGCCCAGCCAGTCGGCTCTAGGACAGAGGACAGAGGTGGAAGTGCTGACAGGGCCAGGCAGGCAGGCAGGACAGAGGGGAGACAGTTCCCAAATGGGCCCAGGGATTAAAATGTGACAGCTCAACAAATGAGGACAAGTGATGCGTTCTTTCCAGAGTGATCCGTCTGTGTGGCACTGGGCTAACTGTCCCACCCCCTCCCCAGCTGCTCCCTCTCTTTCTCTCTCTCTCTTTCACTCTGACTAGATCCCATTGCACAGAGCCAGAGAGCACGACTGGGCCCATTGTCCTTGCCACTATGTACGCAACTGTGTGTGTGTGTGTGTGTGTGTGTGTGTGTGTGTGTGTGTGTGTGTGTGTGTGTGTGTGTGTGTGTGCGTGTGTGTGTGCGTGTGTGTGTGCGCGTGTGTGCGTGTGCGTGTGTTTGAGACTAACTGATTTGGTGCTTCTCATTGTCTGAAAACATGTTTTTCTTTCTTTCTTTGTGAGTTGCCTTCATATTGTTTGTGATGCCCTTTGAAGAGTTGATGGCATTTTCGGTTATTCCTGCAGTTTTTTTGTCTCCTGGTGAACTGTTTGTTTGCTTTGCATAGGTCAAGAGGTCAAGATACAGAGTCAAAAAAGGGACATTCAGCATCAGGAAGTTAAAAAGGTAGTTCTTAACGTGTGACACAAGCTACAAACCTTCTCCTTTTCTCCACAGTTATTTCAGCTATTCCCTGACACGCAGAGCTTGTCTTTACTAACACACTGGAAACTGATACATTTCCCTGATTATCAGAAAATTAACTTCAATGCACTTGAAAAGACAGAAGGACAAGAGCCCTCGAAATGTGATAATAAATATAGGTTGCAAGGGCTTCAGAACCAAAACACTTTGGGACATGTCTAAGTGTCCCGTAAAGAGAACGCTCTCTCTCTCCTATGTTAATGACAGCAATGGGACATAAAGTCATGTTTTACACCAAGCTACAACCACAGTGATTAGTTGTTGCATTTCTCCTCTAGAAATAAATACTCTACTACAATTATAATAATAGTAATAATGATATTAATAACAACAATAATAATCATAAGGATAAATCCACCTTCCTTACTTTGTTCTGTGAATCTGTAACGTTTTCTCTTTTTTTCTTTTTTGGTTTAAGCACAGCAAGTTGGAAAGCTACTGTATGGAGTTCCCACCTCACCATCATCATCATCACCACCCTCTTATCGACTCCGTCACTTAACAACACGGCCCCTCTCTCTTCCTCTTCATCATCCTCTCCCCTTCACAGCCAATCAGCCGAGGCCGGCCGTGGACCTCCCATCCCCTTGTGTCCAATGGCTGCAGTGGCTGCTATTGCATGCGGTCAGCTTGCAGCTGCTGAGGCTGGTACTGACCGAAGGCCGTGGCTGCAGCGACGGCTGACCCCGGTGCGGCCGTAGCCAGGGGCTGCTGAACATAGCCGTAACCGGCTGTGGTTAGGTACCCGGCCGCCGCAGGGGAGGCGGCGTAGGGATACTGCTCGTAGGCTGCGGCGGCAGCGCTAGCTGCGGCGGAGTACTGTGCGTAAGCGGCTCCGGTGTAGTCGATGTAAGGGGAGGAGGCGGTGGAGGCGGCACTGGGCTGCATGCCGTGAGGGATGACCATGGTGCTTGGCTGCATGAAGGCCTGAGGGTACACGTAGTGAGCAGGTATCCTGCAGGACAGATACAGACAGACAGAGAGTTAGAGGTAAAGATCCCAGACCTGGCCTTACACAGCCACCGACAGACAGCATCAACCCCCCCACCCTGACAGCAGAACCAACCACAGCCAACCCAACCACACTGCAGCCAAGTGCCCACCAATACATCAATACACCAGTCAATAACACCACAGAGACACCTGCTAGTAGCTAATAAATATATAGGGTTGCCAAAATAGAGATCTGTCTGTGGGACAAAACATTGAATGGTGAGAGGTGTTCAAAGCTCAGAGGGGTTCTGTTCTCTGATAAGGGATAGGAAGACATTTTGGGTTTTCAGTGACCCTGCCTGCCTATCACATGCTGTAAGAGATTTAGGCAAAGGAAGTGTTTGGTAGCATTGACGCCATCTTGGAGAGACAATCCATGTACACTAAGCTTTGCCAACTTTCCAGGTTTGAGTTTGGAAAGATGGAGAGATGGAGAGAGAAGAGAACCTGATTTGTCTGTGCTTGGTCACATGGATTTGACCCTGGGGCCATTCCTAGTTGGGAGAGGGAGGGAGGGAGGGAGGGAGGGGGGCATTGTGAAAATGTCACTGCCACTTTGACAGCTGGACAGTTTTCAAAAAGGACACTGCTGGCTGTTTCCCCCTCTGTGCTTAGACAAAGAGCCCCGGGCCGGGTGCTTGGCTAGCTACACTCAGGGGGACCTTTTGATTAAATAAGCAATCAGGAACAATGAGCACATTCTGCCTTTCATGACATATCCTGACCGTGAGGCTCGGCTCGCTAGGCTCTCTCTAGAGCTATCAGCTAGCATGATGATGGGAAAGTTATACTATTGTTTTGGTAGAGGAAACTCAAGTTGTTGACCTAGATGGGGAAATCAAGAATGAAATTCCTCAAAATACTAAAATAAACTAAACTGGTGTTAATTAGAGTCAAGTTCATGATTCATGATCAAAAGGAATGAGTAACATAATCAGTGTTATGACATAATGAGTGACATAATCACTTTATAATTGGCTTATCACCATTTTATCAATTGTGAATGTTGGGTTTAGATGAGTTGTGGTCTGGTGTGGATTTTTGACGGTCTGGAATGCTGTGCATGATGTGATGATGTCATCAACAGCTCATTAAAATCTGTTGAGAAACAACCTAACATTTGATTGGACCAAAAAATATACTGACATCAATTAAGCCAATAAGAAACAAGGTGGAGAGAGGAAGCTTTTGTACAGTCATACAGTTTGGAATCTGGACCGAAGGAGGAGAAAAGAGAAATAAAATATCTATCGTGGCAACCCTATTGTCAGGACTCCATTACCCAACCAATCACATCTCACAACACTAGCCCCAAAGAGGAAGCAGGAAAAAAACAACAGAAAGTCTACAAACACAGGCGTCAAAGAAAATAAATGTCAACACAGTCCACATGGATCACCAACACAGCACAACCACAACCACTCACTGAAAGAAACTTAAAGGAAATAAACAAAACAGGGTCAGAGGTTAGAGGCGCTCCTATGACATCACAACCTTGGCAGATGCCTCGGCCTGGCCTGCTGGCACGCTGCTGTTTCAGCACAGTGATACAGTCACAACACAGGCTGGAGACACACACACACACACACACACACACACACACAGGCTGGAGACACACACACACACACACACAGGCTGGACACACACACACACACACACACACACACACACACACAGGCTGAACGACGCACAACAACACAATACACACACAGTGGATGTACACAGACCACAACAAACTAACACAACACAAGACACAAGGGCGACTACAAAGAAAAACTCTCACACACACACATACGGACGCAAAGGATGGTGACACAAAGAAACACAAAATGCGGTGTCCACCGCAAACCAACACAAACGCACACGCCCAGACTGCCCTACTCATTCTAAACCACAGAGAGAAGAATTAAAACACATTCAGACACTTCAGTAAATTCCTCAACTAACATTCTTGGCATCTGTAGTTCTGTATGACATGTGCAAATTGTCGAAGCTGACCATTGTTGTGCCTCCCCATTAATAGCTATATTAAGACATGGGATGCATCCCCCATAGGGTTCTGGTCAAAAGTAGTGCACTATATAGGGAATAGGGTGCCACCCAGACATGGTGTTAGAAGTGGGATCAAACAGGTATTTTATAATGCTATTTTCATCGCTTTTTGGAGACACTATTATATTTTACAATATGGAGAAAACATGCACAAAAATAAGCTTTTTCACACCCCATATGAAACATGTTATAGGGTATCAAATCAAATACACATATTTTGACCAATATGTTAATTGTGTAGATAATCCTCTAAGAAAACCAATGGGTATAATTATATCCTCTTAGAAAACCAATAGTCCAAACCTTATGTCTCTATCACAATCCGTTCAAAGGTTATTGGAGGTTTTACTCTTGTAGGATGGCCAAAATTAGGGTGACTAAATCAATGGCGGCCAGAGATTCAAAGTGGTAAAAAATAAGGAAAATTGCACAGCATCGCCTCAGCTAGGCTGGATGACTGCTGTGCAAGAATGAAGGCTACCCGACAGGCTCACATTCCCATTGAACTCGTCATATTTCTTCTCGAATCCGCAGGACATAAAACAATATAGAGGTAAGACAGATATCAATTTTGAGACATGACATAGTAGTTTTATATTTTAGTATACACTTCTCATATTAATACGAAATTCCTGTTATTTTTTGAAGATTTCTCACAAAAAACGAGCATAACTCTGTGAAATGTCAACGGAGCACTGAGCATACCGCAAGCTTTTTATTTTCAAAGCCTTTTACATTTAATTTAGCTCGTGTCATGCTAATTCTGCTTTTTGCGACCCGTAGAAAACAACTTTGAAGACACACCACAACATGTAAAAATCCTCAAAAGTTTCTGGGAGAAAACTGCACCGCTCTGTCAACAGAGCTCCGTGTTTATTAAGGAATGTTTTAGATTACGAAATCAAACTTTTTGGGATATACTGTTAATGAAATGTTAGATAAAGACCCCACTGAACGATTCAGAGCATGAATAATCATATTTGTCTTGGTAAAATGTATTTTATAACATAAGGGAGTGAAATTTCATTACCAAAGTGTGTTTTCACCCTCTCTGGACAGAGGGGTGGACACCCTACATGTTATGCAGAGCTACAACACACACTAAGATGTTCTGTAGTAGTACATTTGCAATTGTAGAGAATTAAATTACAGCATTCAACTGGTATGTTTAAGTGGTGGTGAAACATGCTGGTGTTGGAAATAAAGGCTGCATCCCAAATGGCACAATATTCCCTTTAAGTGCACTACTTTTGACCAGGGACCAACAGTAGTGTACTATATGGGGAATAGGGTGCCATTTGGGCACATACAAAGTATGAAGAACACAGACGTTAAAATGGCCCATGCTTGTAAGCATAAATTAGACTGTTTAAAGCAATCACTCTGCCCAAGAGAGTATCATCCCTGTTCGTTTTTTCTAAAATATATCACAGTACAGTATAGGCAAGGTACAAACAAGTACGGTTTCCATAAGTAGTCATGTAACTGCAGGAAGGCATTCCTGTAATGTGGATCTGGTCTCAGACATGCTCTTTGTTGCCTGGCCTCATTTATGATTAGCAGGAGAGACTGGAGGCTGGGCCCCAGCTATTTTCTGCTTGCCTGTCATCCTACATACGACTTACTGTGCTATGTTCCCATCCCTAGAACTCATTTGGGATGAAATCCCACCTTACCTTTATTCACCGCCACATTAGTTGTTCTCCGCCACATTAGAACCGTTGGGATTCTGTTGCATTAAGAGCTGAGGAGCCAGTCCTTCACTAACACCCTTAAATGTGAGAAGCGTAGAGGAGCGGCATTGGTGCTATAATAACAACTATGGACCTGCTGCTACATGCTAAAGTGTGGTGATGGCCAAGGAGCTGGTTGCTGCTGCTACATGCTGTAGTGTGGTGATGGAAAAGGAGCTGGTTGCTGCTGCTACATGCTGTAGTGTGGTGATGGCCAATGAGCTGGTTGCTGCTGCTACATGCTGTAGTGTGGTGATGGCAAAGGAGCTGATTGCTGCTGCTACATGCTGTAGTGTGGTGATGGCAAAGGAGCTGGTTGCTGCTGCTACATTCTGTAGTGTGGTGATGGCCAAGGAGCGGATGGCTGCTGCTACATGCTGTAGTGTGGTGATGGCAAAGGATCTGGTTGCTGCAGCTACATGCTGTAGTGTGGTGATGGCCAAGGAGCTGGTTGCTGCAGCTACATGCTGTAGTGTGGTGATGGCCAAGGAGCTGGTTGCTGCTGCTACATGCTGTAGTGTGGTGATGGCAAAGGAGCTGGTTGCTGCTGCTACATTCTGTAGTGTGGTGATGGCCAAGGAGCGGATGGCTGCTGCTACATGCTGTAGTGTGGTGATGACCAAGGAGCTGGTGGCTGCTGCAGTGTGTTGATGGCCAAGGAGCTGGTTGCTGCTGCTACATGCTGTAGTGTTGTGATGGCCAATGAGCTGGTTGCTGCTGCTACATGCTGTAGTGTGGTGATGGCCAAGGAGCTGGTTGCTGCTGCTACATGCTGTAGTGTGGTGATGGCCAAGGAGCTGGTTGCTGCTGCTACATGCTGTAGTGTGGTGATGGCCAAGGAGCTGGTTGCTGCTGCTACATGCTGTAGTGTGGTGATGGCAAAGGAGCTGGATGCTGCTGCTACATGCTGTAGTGTGGTGATGGCCAAGGAGCTGGTGGCTGCTGCTACATGCTGTAGTGTGGTGATGACCAAGGAGCTGGTGGCTGCTGCTACATGCTGTAGTGTGGTGATGGCCAAGGAGCTGCTTGCTGCTGCTACATGCTGTAGTGTGGTGATGGCAAAGGAGCTGGTTGCTGCTGCTACATGCTGTAGTGTGGTGATGGCCAAGGAGCTGGTTGCTGCTGCTACATGCTGTAGTGTGGTGATGGCCAAGGAGCTGGTTGCTGCTGCTACATGCTGTAGTGCGGTGATGGCAAAGGAGCTGGTTGCTGCTGCTACATGCTGTAGTGCGGTGATGGACAAGGAGCTGGTTGCTGCTGATACATGCTGTAGTGCCGTGATGGCCAAGGAGATGGTTGCTGCTGCTACATGCTGTAGTGCCGTGATGGCCAAGGAGCTGGTTGCTGCTGCTACATGCTGTAGTGTGGTGATGGCCAAGGAGCTGGTTGCTGCAGCTACATGCTGTAGTGTGGTGATGGCCAAGGAGCTGGTTGCTGCTGCTACATGCTGTAGTGTGGTGATGGCCAAGGAGCTGGTTGCTGCTGCTACATGCTGTAGTGTGGTGATGGCCAAGGAGCTGGTTGCTGCTGCTACATGCTGTAGTGTGGTGATGGCCAAGGAGCTGGTTGCTGCTGCTACATGATGTAGTGTGGTGATGGCAAAGGAGCTGGTTGCTGCTGCTACATGCTGTAGTGTGGTGATGGCCAAGGAGCTGGTGGCTGCTGCTACATGCTGTAGTGTGGTGATGACCAAGGAGCTGGTGGCTGCTGCTACATGCTGTAGTGTGGTGATGGCCAAGGAGCTGGTTGCTGCTGCTACATGCTGTAGTGTGGTGATGGCCAAGGAGCTGGTTGCTGCTGCTACATGCTGTAGTGTGGTGATGGCCAAGGAGCTGGTTGCTGCTGCTACATGCTGTAGTGTGGTGATGGCAAAGGAGCTGGTTGCTGCTGCTACATGCTGTAGTGTGGTGATGGCCAAGGAGCTGGTTGCTGCTGCTACATGCTGTAGTGTGGTGATGGCCAAGGAGCTGGTTGCTGCTGCTACATGCTGTAGTGTGGTGATGGCCAAGGAGCTGGTTGCTACTGCTACATGCTGTAGTGTAGTGATGGCCAAGGAGCTGGTGGCTGCTGCTACATGCTGTAGTGTGGTGATGGCCAATGAGCTGGTTGCTGCTGCTACATGCTGTAGTGTGGTGATGGCCAAGGACCTGGTTTGCTGCTGCTGCATGCTGTAGTGTGGTGATGGCAAGGAGACTGGTTGCTGCTGCTACATGCTGTAGTGTGGTGATGGCCAAGGAGCTGGTTGCTGCTGCTACATGCTGTAGTGCGGTGATGGCCAAGGAGTCTGGTTGCCTTGCTGGCTACATGCTGTAAGTGTTGGTGATGGCCAACGGATCGGTTGCTGTGCAATGCTGTATTGGTGATGGCCAAGGAGCTGGTTGCTGCTGCTACATGCTGTAGTGTGGTGATGGCCAAGGAGCTGGTTGCTGCTGCTACATGCTGTAGTGTGGTGATGGCCAAGGAGCTGGTTGCTGCTGCTGTATGCTGTAATGTGGTGATGGCCAAGGAGCTGGTTTGCTGCTGCTACATGCTGGTAGTGTGGTGATGGCCAAGGAGCTGGTTGCTGCTGCTACATGCTGTAGTGTGGTGATGGCCAAGGAGCTGGTTGCTGCTGCTACATGCTATTGTGTGGTGATTGCCAAGGAGCTGGTTGCTGCTGTTACATGCTTTGGTGTGGTGATGGCCAAGGAGCTGGTTGCTGCTGCTACATGCTGTAGTGTAGTGATGGCAAATGAGCTGGTTGCTGCTGCTACATGCTGTGGTGTGGTGATGGCAAAGGAGCTGCTTGCTGCTGCTACATGTTGTGGTGTGGTGATGGCAAAGGAGCTGGTTTCTGCTGCTACATGCTGTAGTGTGGTGATGGCAAAGGAGCTGGTTGCTGCTGCTACATGCTGTAGTGTGGTGATGGCCAAGGAGCTGGTTGCTGCTGCTACATGCTGTAGTGTGGTGATGGCCAAGGAGCTGGTTGCTGCTGCTATATGCTGTAATGTGGTGATGGCCAATGAGCTGGTTGCTGCTGCTACATGCTGTAGTGTGGTGATGGCCAAGGAGCTGGTTGCTGCTGCTGCATGCTGTAGTGTGGTGATGGCCAAGGAGCTGGTTGCTGCTGCTACATGCTGTAGTGTGGTGATGGCCAAGGAGCTGGTTGCTGCTGCTACATGCTGTAGTGTGGTGATGGCCAAGGAGCTGGTTGCTGCTGCTACATGCTGTAGTGTGGTGATGGCCAAGGAGCTGGTTGCTGCTGCTACATGCTGTAGTGCGGTGATGGCCAAGGAGCTGGTTGCTGCTGCTACATGCTGTAGTGTGGTGATGGCCAATGAGCTGGTTGCTGCTGCTACATGCTGTAGTGTGGTGATGGCCAGAGCTGGTTGCTGCTGCTACATGCTGTAGTGTGCTGCTGCTACATGCTGTAGTGTGTGATGGCCAAGGAGCTGGTGCTGCTGCACATGAAGTAGTGTTGGTGATGGCCAAGGAGCTGGTTGCTGCTGCTACATGCTGTAGTGTTGGTGATGGCCAAGGAGCTGGTTGCTGCTGCTATATGCTGTAATGTGGTGATGGCCAAGGAGCTGGTTGCTGCTGCTACATGCTGTAGTGTGTGTGGGATGGCCAAGGAGCTGGGTTGCTTGCTGCTACATGCTGTAGTGTGGTGATGGCCAAGGGAGCTGGTTGCTGCTGCTACATGCTATAGTGGGGTGATGGCCAAGGAGTGGTTGCTGCTGTTACATGCTTTGGTGTGGTGATGGCCAAGGAGCTGGTTGCTGCTGCTACATGCTGTGGTGTAGTGATGGCAAGGAGCTGGTTGTGCTGCTACCATACTGTGGTGTGTGGTGATGGCAAAGGAGCTGGTTCTGCTGCTACATGCTGTAGTGTGGTGATGGCCAAGGAGCTGGTGCCTGCTGCTACATGCTGTAGTGTGGTGATGGCCAAGGAGCTGGTTGCTGCTGCTACATGCTGTAGTGTGGTGATGGCCAAGGAGCTGGTTGCTGCTGCTATATGCTGTAATGTGGTGATGGCCAAGGAGCTGGTTGCTGCTGCTACATGCTGTAGTGTGGTGATGGCCAAGGAGCTGGTTGCTGCTGCTACATGCTGTAGTGTGGTGATGGCCAAGGAGCTGGTTGCTGCTGCTGCATGCTGTAGTGTGGTGATGGCCAAGGAGCTGGTTGCTGCTGCTACATGCTGTAGTGTGGTGATGGCCAAGGAGCTGGTTGCTGCTGCTACATGCTGTAGTGTGGTGATGGCCAAGGAGCTGGTTGCTGCTGCTACATGCTGTAGTGCGGTGATGGCCAAGGAGCTGGTTGCTGCTGCTACATGCTGTAATGTGGTGATGGCCAAGGATCTGGTTGCTGCTGCTACATGCTGTAGTGTGGTGATGGCCAAGGAGCTGGTTGCTGCTGCTACATGCTTGTAGTGTGGTGATGGCCAAGGAGCAGGTTGCTGCTGCTACATGCTGTAGTGTGGTGATGGCCAAGGAGCTGGTTGCTGCTGCTACATGCTGTAGTGCGGTGATGGCCAAGGAGCTGGTTGCTGCTGCTACATGCTCTAGTGTGGTGATGGCCAATGAGCTGGTTGCTGCTGCTACATGCTGTAGTGTGGTGATGGCCAAGGAGCTGGTTGCTGCTGCTACATGCTGTAGTGTGGTGATGGCCAAGGAGCTGGTTGCTGCTGCTACATGTTGTAGTGTGGTGATGGCCAAGGAGCTGGTTGCTGCTGCTATATGCTGTAATGTGGTGATGGCCAAGGAGCTGGTTGCTGCTGCTACATGCTGTGGTGTAGTGATGGCAAAGGAGCTGGTTGCTGCTGCTACATGCTGTAGTGTGGTGATGGCCAAGGAGCTGGTTGCTGCTGCTACATGCTGTGGTGTGGTGATGGCAAAGGAGCTGGTTGCTGCTGCTACATGCTGTAGTGTGGTGATGGCAAAGGAGCTGGTTTCTGCTGCTACATGCTGTAGTGTGGTGATGGCCAAGGAGCTGGTTGCTTGCTGCTACATGCTGTAGTGTGGTGATGGCAAAGGAGCTGGTTGCTGCTGCTACATGCTGTAGTGTGGTGATGGCAAAGGAGCTGGTTTCTGCTGCTACATGCTGTAGTGTGGTGATGGCCAAGGAGCTGGTTGCTGCTGCTACATGCTGTAGTGTGGTGATGGCAAAGGAGCTGGTTGCTGCTGCTACATGCTGTAGTGTGGTGATGGCCAAGGAGCTGGTTGGTGCTGCTACATGCTGTAGTGTGGTGATGGCCAAGGAGCTGGTTGCTGCTGCTACATGCTGTAGTGCCGTGATGGCCAAGGAGCTGGTTGCTGCTGCTACATGCTGTAGTGTGGTGATGGAAAAGGAGCTGGTTGCTGCTGCTACATGCTGTAGTGTGGTGATGGAAAAGGAGCTGGTTGCTGCTGCTACATGCTGTAGTGTGGTGATGGCCAAGGAGCTGGTTGCTGCCCTCCCACAGCTGTTTCTATCTATGGTTGTGTCCCATATGGCACCCTATTCTCTCTATATAGTGCACTATTTTTCATCAGGGCCCCGGTCAAAAGTAGTGCTCTATATAGCGAATAGGGTGGCATTTGGGACATACCCTATGTCTGTGGCCTTGGGCTATAATGTATGGATGTGGTTGATCTACCACAGCTGTATCTACAGTATGTATGTCTGTGGCCCTTTAAACCTCCCAGGGCCTCTAGCCAGCATGTGTTGGGCCTGCTGTTTTTAAAGAGCATCCCATTCCGACATGACAGAGAGAGCCCGAGCCCCCTGCTCCCCAGCGCACGCTTCATACGACTGCAGCGTCAGCAGTCCAGCCTTTGTGTGGCACAATGGAGAAGCTTGTTTTCCTTAACGCCGCAGCCCATGTGACGAAAGCTTGTTCAGAGGCTGTGGCATCCAGACATTTGTTTGTGTCACAGTAGAGCTTTTGGGGCACTGCTCTACCACTGGACTGGACTACGCACAAGACACACACACACACACCCTAACACAAACACACATGATAGTAAGGTGTTTTGCGTCAACTAAACTAGTAAAAAGATCTCCTTCAGTGTGGAGATATATGTACTCATCCCATGTGCCTTGATAGTGATTTTTCCAATGATTACTTTCTTGTGAACAGACACCATTATCTCTGAATGAGACACAGCACCTCTCCTGAGAGTCGTAGGGGTCTGAAGTATACCATATAGGGATAGATAGATAGATGGAGGGAGAGGGAAATAATATGAGAGAGAGAGAGAGAGAGAGAGAGAGTGAGTTTGAGAGTTTAGGTGTTAATGCTAGAATTATTAATTCCAAGAAGGTCATTAAAAAAGACACATGCAAGCAATGAGTTGTTGATAGGTTTTGGTGGGGTTGGTTTGGTTTGGAGTAGGGGTGAGAGTGGTGGGAAGTAATACAAAAATCACACCGCAAATCGTCACTCACTCCAACAAGACATCCAAAAACATATATAGAACATCCTGTTACCAAAGAAAATGTAAATCACAAGCTACAGCACAAAATAATCAAATAAATATATATTTGTTAAACTTTGCTCTCCCTTACAAAGTCAACATTCTTCCAGAAAAACGGAAAAGAACACCCCCCAAAATCTTCAATCCATCTTTTCTTTTCATTAAATAGAAAACACATGGTTTAGCTATCAACACCACTTCATAACAGTAAAACAGCACACAAAGCTCTAATTGCTATTCAAATTAAAACTCAAAACCAAAATTTTAAACCAACATACATGCATCTATAATCACCATTTGAGCTTGTTTGTGTGTGTTTGAGATTACAGGTAATTCCCCTGGTCTGATCTGTGACATGCCCACAGCACTAATCCTGAAACCACCAGTTATCTTAACCCATATCGAGCCTGTCGGACCAGAGAGATAGATAACATTGAGTCATTGAGGCTGTAACTTTCCATCAGTTGTACTCAACAAATAACACACACACACTCATACAATGAACACACACTTTCTCTTTCACTCACACAAACCTTACATTTATATTTTGGTAAACTTTGTAGTCAGTGATAAAAAGAAAGAGGATTTGTGAAACGTTTTGTTTCAACATAACTATCATGCACTGTAATCATGTAAGTATGGAGAAAAATAGGAGTAAGCAGAAAACAATTATATAAACAGATTATATAAACATACATGTCATTGTATGAACATATCTAACAATGCTAGACTTCAGCCAAATTAGGAACATTGGCTCTTTAGATTCTGTGAGGTTACACCAGAGAGGTTTCATATACAGTAGCTCAATTTTTATGAGGTCATTTGTTAATGTATATCCATCAACACCCAACCATCCCCTCAACACAAAGATGCTGCTGTACTTACCCATAAGGCCTTTGGATAAAGGCAGGATGGATTTGTGGAACACCAAAGGTGAAACCTGGATGGAGATGTGGAATGGTCAAAATGAATTGATGATCTTATTCATGTCATTATGTGAGTCCCAAATGGCACCCTATTGTCCATTTAGTGCACTACATTTTTAGTGCACTACTTTTGACCAGGACCAATAGAAGTACACTATATAGGGAACAAGCTGCCATTTGGGACACACATATTCAGAACATTCTAGACACAATAGTTATTTTAATGACATCCTGAATCATGTATTGAATGAACACATTTATTTTCCATATTTATGTGACAGAAGGATTAAAATAAGTATTGAGCTCATCATGATGGTATTCTGAACCAGGCATGATTTGTGTGGAAAAGATTAGGACAATATGAAAAAGAAATGCAAAGTTTTAAGATGAGACCTGGTGCATGTTCTGTAGGACACACCCTCAATGTTCTCAGAACATTAACATACAGAACAGGTAGCTGAAAAAGTACTGTGTGTGTGTGTGTGTGTGTGTGTGTGTGTGTGTGTGTGTGTGTGTGTGTGTGTGTGTGTGTGTGTGTGTGTGTGTGTGTGTGTGTGTGTGTGTGTGTGTGTGTGTGTGGTGTGTGGTGTGTGGTGTGTTACTGGTGGCATGCAGCGTGGCTTGGCCCAAGGACGCAGGTTGAGTTGGTGTTGCTGCGTGAGTGTGTGGGGTTGGGTTTTAAGGTGTGTGGCGGCGGTGCAGTGACCTGCAGGGAAGCACGAGAGGGTGGTGGTAGGTGGATGGGGTGGCAGGGTGTGGTGTGTGTGGTGTTGGGTGATGAGTGGGAGTGGTTAAGTGTGTGTAGATTCACCATGTGTGTGTTGTGTTGTAATGTGGGGTGTGTTTGGTAAGTGGTGAGTCCCTTGGGCACTGCGTGCATGATTGAAGTATAGGTAACTGTATTTTGAGTGGTCTTGGTGCTGATGGTGTTCTGTGTTGTGTGGAGTGGTGAACTTTACATGCTTGACATCACCCGTGGCTTTGCCCCAACGGTCGCTGTCGTGACGTTGGCTTTCTGTCCTCTGTATGTGGGTTGGGTACTTTACAGTCCTTCTGCGCCGATGTTATGGTTTCCACATCGTCAACCTGCAGGGATACACAGAGAGGGAGAGAGAACAGGGAAGAAGCAGGTTAAAGGGTGAAAGTGGTGATGAAGTGGGATGGTTAAAGTATGATCAAAACGATCAGCATTCACCAATGTTCATATTCATTAGCTAAAGGGGCAATTATTTGAGAAAATATGGATATCACACTTGGGCCCAACTGTCACTCAATATTTATAAAATATAGGTAACCCTCATTATTTATTGTAAGTTGAGATCTTAGGTGCTGATGAGTTATTTCCTTGTGTTCCAGAGGAGAAGCTGGATAGAACACTTATCTATCTATAGATACTCATTCACTCAAAATAATTGAACCTCTTGATGTCAGTACATTGTTTTCCTCTGTACTTGGCTGAGGACAAGTTTACTTTAAGATCTTAACTGCTTCTGCGCTGATGACTATAATAATTATATTTGAGAGTAATTCATCTCTGTAAGCGCTTTTGGGGCTGTGGTAGGCCTTTCTCAAATAAGTTGAACCAGAAACCCAAGGAAAACTTTTCAACTCATCAGAAACTACAAGCTAATATTTCACATAAATGTGTTTAAAACTAAATGGCTGCAAAGAGGGAGGGACCATGACACTAAACCAGGTGTATAGTAGCCAATCATTCTCTCATCAATGCTCTTAGAGACATTGACATAATCACGATGACGTGATTTGCTGCCATTTGAAAGATTGCAGGCATTTGACAGACAGTGCAAGTGAGGTCTCTGTTCAAAGTTATGACAAATAAATACTATATTGATACTTACGAATCCATACCCCCTGGATTTGCCGGTCTGTCGGTCGGTAATCACGACTGCTTCTTCAATTTCTCCGAACACTTCAAAATATTTCCTGAGACTGGAATCTGTGGTGTGATACGGAAGACCCCCGACAAAAATCTTCGTGTAGGTCGTGTCCTTCTGCGTGGTGTGCATCTTCACCAATATCTTAGTGCACAATAGTAGAAATAGAAACAATACGAAATATAGTGCAATGTTTCCTTATCACCTAGTTACGTTATTTATAAGTATTTCTATAAAAATGGACAATATGAGATTTACAACTGGAGAGGCTTCAGAGAAATAACACAAAACTCGACAAAAATCAAGATTCGAGGTAGATTATCTTTCGACACTTAAAGGAGATATGGAGCGGATTGTCCAAGAGATCATCAGGTGTTTTCTTCGTAACTGTCGTGACTAACTAAATAGGTTTCGGACCCATTCCTAAAAGCGCTGCTCATAACTCCACCCCGTTCCAAAGCACGAGGGCGGTACAGTGCGTGCATTGCTGCCCGCCCACATGCTCCGCTACAAGCTCAAACAAACAGCTGGGAAGCGCGCAGAATGAAAAACATCCATTCCTGCAATGTGATGAGGAAGAATAGGCTATATTACCACATATTTAACCACCATGAAGGTTATGGTCATTCGTTTTTTCATAACCCTAAAATGAGCTGTTCTTACACCAATTGTATAGCTCAGAGGAAGGTTGGTTGGGTACATTTTTGCCATTAACCCACAGTGTCACAGACAACACCCAATTATACTGAATAAAGGTATGGCTTAAAAAATTAACGTATTGGTTCTCTTCCTGTCCCAAGGGATACCTTCCAGCAGGTGGTCTGCCCGGGCCGGCCCATTACGCACGTAGAGGATAAGTGGCCAGCCCAGGGATGCATATGTTTTAGTGGCAGCAGCAGTGCAGCACGACCAATGCAGACAGGTGTAATCTCTGGGCCTCAAGATTCCACTCAAATTGAGTTTCATTGTAGAATAATGCAGTACCGTGTTTAGTTTTGTTCGGGACTATCAAACACGGGACGCTGCTATACCAAGACCATTGTAGGCATGTAGGACAATAGGTCGGGACAGCAATTTACAGTTTTCTAGTCCCCTGATGTCTCATATGAGGATATTGATGATTGAACTGTGGTAAAACCCGTTTAGGAGTGAGTTCAACCGAGTGATGATGGAACTTAGGCAGTTTATGATAACCTTTATAAGTGACTTACATGGAAGATCTGTGCGTGCGTAAGGACGCGGCCGCGGATTGCGCACGCTTTGCACTGTCCATTCAAGATCATATCTTCAGAAAAATGGTTTAATGCTTAAGCGTATCATACGAATAGGTTAAATTGTATATTTTAGTACCGCAGTGCCTTGAGGTCAGATTAATGTCCACTTTTGGGTCTTGTAGGGCTTGTAATAAAAAATAGCCTAACGATAGGCCTAATGATAATGACAATGATAATAAGACGTAAACTGGTTACTTTCATCTCGGTCGGAAATCATGAAGCAGACCTCTGTCTTTCAATCCGTTTTTCATGACTGAATATAGAAAATTATGAGCCTCTCTCCTGCTTTCCACAACAACTGGTCTAATACGGATAATTGTATTTGCTTGTAATTTCTACGGAGACATCTGATACGCAACTCTGTCTAAATCATTCATATGGTTCCACCTCCATGGACTAATTCAGCCATGGAGACACGCGGCCTACATAGGCCCTAATACCGGTATGTGTCCGGTTGCTTGTACTGTAATATGATAAGTTGCCTAAATGTGATGTGGCCGGTTAGCTGTCATTTTGTTCTAGGACTTGTCACCTCCTCCTCTACCCGAACGTAATAGCGTGAAGTGCCACTGGACTCTCCAGTCCCAAAATGCCATAGACATCTCCTAGGTCACTATTCCCGGTACCAACCTGATAGAGCGACTTTGCGGTGTCTCTGTGTGGATCACTCACTATTTTATTCATTTGTGCCCACACGCCCTTTACAGCCCGGAGCGGAGCCGCAGTAGGATCCGTTTCGGGTTTCAGCTGACACACAATGGAGACGCTATCGTGTTGAGTCCCTTTTTTGTCTCTGTTCGTGTGCAGCATGCTGACTAATCAGAATCCCCTTACATTTTGACTAAGAAAACGCACAGGGTCTCTGGTAAATCCTCATCAATGGGTTATCCTTAATCCCTTATGTGCATATCTCTGATGTGTTTATAGGCCTATATCATAAACGTATATGTTTGGGAGTGTGCCAAATAGACCCAGAAAAATGTAATACATAGGCCTACATACACTGAGGGTACAAAACATTAGGAACACCTTCCTAATATTGAGTTGCACCCCGTTGTGCCCTCAGAACAGCCTCAGTTTGTCGAAAGGTGTCGAAAGTGTTCCACAGGGATGTTGGCCCATGTTGACTCCAATGCACCCCACGGCTGGATATCCTTTGGGTGGTGGACCATTCTTGATACACAAGGGAAACTATTGAGCATGAAAAACCCAGCAGCATTGCAGTTCTTAACACACTCAAACCGGTGCACCTGGCACCTACTACCATACCCCGTTCAAAGGTACTTCAATCTTTTGTCTTGCCCATTCACCCTCTGAATGGCACACAATTGTGTCAAGGTAAAAAAAAAAATCCTTCTTTAACCTGTCTCCTCCCCTTTATCTACACTGATTGAAGTGGATTTAACAACTGACATCAATAAGGGATCGTAGCTTTCACCTGGATTCATGGAAAGAGCAGGTGTTCCTAATGTTTTGTACACTCAGTGTAGATACTCTAGTATATGCAGGTCCTATAACTCAGTGAATGATGGATCTCTATGAGTGTATGTAGCTTACACTGAACAAAAAATATAAATACAACATGCAACAATTTCAAAGATTTTAGTGAGTTACAGTTCATATAAGGAAATCAGTCAATTGAAATAAATAAATAATGCCCTAATCTATAGATTTCACATGACTGGGAATACAGATATGCATCTATTGGTCACAGATACCTTTTTAAAAAAGGTAAAAGGCAGGGGTGTAGATCAGAAAACCAGTCAGTATCTGGTGTGACCACTATTTGCCTCATGCAGCGCAACATATCTCCTTCGCATAGAGTTCATCAGGCTGTTGATTGTGGAATGTTGTCCCACTCCTCTTCAATAGCTGTGCAAAGTTGCTGGATATTGGGGGAATCTGGAACACGCGATCATACACATCGATCCAGAGCATCCCAAACATTCTCAATGGATGACATGTCTGGTGAGTATGCGGGCCATGGAAATACTGGGACATTTTCAGCTTTCAGGAATTGTGTACAGATCCTTGCGACATGCTGAAACATTGAGGTGATGGCGGCGGATGAATGGCATGACAATGGGACTCAGGATCTCGTCACAGTATCTCTGTGCATTCAAATTGCCATTGATAAAATGCAATTGTGTTCGTTGTCCATAGCTTATGCCTTCCCATACCATAACCCCACCGCCACCATGGGGCACTCTGTTCACAATGTTGACATCAGCAAACCGCTTCCCACACAATGCCATACACGCTGTCTGCCATGTACCCAGCTTCCCTGAGACGATTTGTGACAGTTTGCACAGAAATTCTTCGGTTATGCAAACCCAGTTTCATTAGCTGTTCAGGTGGCTAGTCTCAGACGATCCCGTAGGTGAAGAAGCCAAATGTGGAGGTCCTGGGCTGGCATGGTTACAAGTGGTTGTGTGGCTGGTTGGATGTACTGCCAAATTCTCTAAAACGATGTTGGAAGGCAGCTTATGGTAGAGAAATTAACATTAAATTATCTGGAAACAGCTCTGGTGGACATTCCTGCAGTCAGCATGCCAATTGCAGGCTCCCTCAAAACTTGAGACATCTGTAGCATTGTGTTGTGTTACAAAACTGCACATTTTAGAGTGGCCTTTTATTATCCCCAGCACAAGGTGCACCTGTGTAATGATCACGTTTTAATCAGCTTCTTTATATGCCACACCTGTCAGGTGGATGGATTATTTTAGCAAAGGACAGGGATGTAAACAAATTTGTGCACAACTTTTGAGAGAAATAAGCTTTTTGTGGCAAATGGAACATTTCTGGGCTCTTTTATTTCAGCTCATGAAACATGGGACCAAGACTTTACATGTTGTGTTTATATTTTTGTTCAGTATAAATACAATTTTGGAATTCCATTACTTATTCTATTCAGCGTTCCACTTAAAGTGCACCATCATGATGGGCTACCCACTTGATTAAGCGCTATGGGGATGGTCATTGGTCATGTTTGGAAAATTGAAAAGTAATACTAGAAAACTGGCAAATACTTAACCTACTGTGCAGGGTTGGGTAGGTTACCTTCTAAATGTAAGCCGTTACAGTTACTAGTTACCTGTACAAAATTGTAATCAGTAATGTAACTTTTGGATTACCCAAACTCAGTAAAGTAATCTGATTACTTTCCCCTTAAGAGGCATTAGAAGACAAAAATTATCCATCAAACGAATTTAGTGTCATCATAGTGGTTTCTGACTTGTGGTCAGACTCGCTCAGGTGGAACAAACTTAAACTTGCACCTTTATTCAATGCTGAATTGAATGTCATTGAGAAAACAGAAAGGTGTCCTTGTGTATTTCTTTGCAAACATCCTTTCTAAATTTAAAAGTAATCCAATAAGTAATCATTTACTTTTTCAAACATATCTGTAATCTGATTACAATATTTTTTGATGGTAACGTAACTGATTATATTTAATCTGATTACAAAAAACTAACTGTAATCAGTTACTCCCCAACCCTGCTGACGTGATCAAAAGACATAGGCTGGTTTCCCAAAAGCATCGTTGCACTATGATAATCTTTCATCCATTTAGTTTCAATGGAATTAAGATTATCTTAGTGCTACGATGCTTTTGGGAAACACAGCCCTAGTCATTCTGAGAATGTGACTACGTTTTTCACCAGTTGAAAAACACAGCACACCTGTCAAGCATATAAAGCCCAAAGGTCATGGGTCATTTGAGAACAGATGAATTCTACACACAGTCAAACCACGGTTGTTCTCTCTCTCTCTCTCTCTCTACACACAGTCAACCCACGCTTGTTCTCTCTCTCTCTCTCTCTCTCTCTCTCTCTCTCTCTCTCTCTCTCTCTCTCTCTCTCTCTCTCTCTCTCTCTCTCTCTCTCTCTCTCTCTCTCTCTCTCTCTCTCTCTCTCTCTCTCTCTCGCTCTCTCTCTCTCTCTCTCTCTCTCTCAGCGCTGGACACCTGAAATACAAACAGACACACAAAAAATATCACACTTTTCTTTCATTTCAATTGCCTATTTACATAAGGACAGATACGACCGCCAGATGCATTGCACCACCACACCTTAGCTTACATGCTAATTTCCAGTGATTGTCCCCAAATGAGCATTAAAGTAATGAGACCTACTTTTTAGACACTATACGGAAAACACCAATACACTCTTAGATATGATGACACCAAATATCTTCTGTAAGTTAGTTATACTGAACAGTGCTGGAGAGTCATTTAATTCCATGGAAACAGCATCATCTTGTGTTCAAAACAGCTTTCAACTCAACGTTCATAATGGCAGCACATAAAATAAGTGGGAAAAATCCCTTAACCTTTATAAATTAATGGAAAATAAATATCTCCATGATTTCGTTTTTGGTTAATTGACAATCTTTTTTATAATAATAATATTGACCCCCTTTATAGAATATAATTTTGCATTGAAAAGTAAACCCCCATAGCATCTTGAGATCTCTATTCTTATTCATGCCACAGTAAATACGTCATACAAGTCTTATAAACAGACTGAATGCACATACACTGTGATGTTTTTGTATACAAAACACAAATAGACATCACTGATCTCTCTCCCTCCCCCTCACTCAATTTATTTTCCTCTTCTTCACCCCATCTGCCATTTTTTCCCTCCCTCATTTTATCCTTCCTTCCGTTCTGACACACTAGGCTCTAATACATAAATAAGGTACTTCCAGCCAGGTGCTAGAACATCTCCACAGTTTGCTCAATCTGTTGAAACGTGGAGTCATTCTCCATCTCCAGAGAGGCTGATAGAAGCTGCCCACTGACCCCACTTCTGACTCCCTCACCCCCACTCTCCCTGACCCCTCCATCCCCTCCTCCCTGGGTCTGGGTCGGGTCTGTGTCCGGTGGGTCCTGCTGGATCCCTCTCGGGCTGGGTGGGGTGTCAGGGGCCTGGAGGACCTCCACAGGGGTGAATACGTCCCCCTCTCCGGTTTTCGCTGCAGTGTTTGGGCCACAGACACCAGCTGACTTAGTCCTCAGCCTCACCTTCAGCTCCTCCTCTTTGCGCTAAAAGAGAAAACAAAGAAATGTAGTGAGTGATGAAAGAGTATGTGTGTAGTATGAAGTTGGCTATGAGCACCGGTCATATTCAAGGCAAATATAGTTGAAGTTGGTCCCTGTTTAACCCCCTTAAGCCAGTTTTCCCTTCTTCCTCTCACCTAACATTCCTATTTTTCATGTCATAATCACTAGCTCTTCATAGGCCACTTTTATCATATTCCTCACCTTGTTGCGTCTCTCCTCGGCCTGCCTCATCCTCTCCTCCATGTCCTCTTTGGTGGTGACAGACTGGTCCCTCCTGCCCTTCAGAGACTCCAGGTGAGGGGGAGGCCTACGTGAGGGTGTCTCTGTGTCAACAATCTGATCATACACACACAGCAATTAAACCATGAGTGAATACACACTCCAACAAAACATATTAGGTAAACACTCATATACTGCAGTTAGTGTAATTAACAAAAAAAATACCATCTCTTCAATACAGTGTTACTGTCCTTGACATATTGACATATTCAATCAGTTATGCACTCACTTACCATAAGATGGCAGCAGTTTTCTAAATAATCACAACACTAATCAAGAGACTATCCAACCAAGCCCCAGTTTTATTATGAAAAGAGATTATGGAACTCATCCTCTCACTTGAGGTCCTCACCTTACCGGGGTCTGTACCCAGGAAACTACCACCACTAGCAGGTGTGTGTGTGTGTGTGTGTGTTTGATTGTGACACCACTATAGAGGTCTGAGGCTACATAAGGCTACACTTTGCTCTGCCCCACCAGTAGACCTGGCCGGTACCCACCATGTTGTATGCCTCCTCGCTGGCCCTCTCCCTGGGCTGGGCAGGTATGATGCCTTGGCTAAGCAGCTGCTCCAGGATCTCACTGGACCTGGGTCTCTCACCATTCTCCTGAACCAGGCCAGGGCTGTGGGCTGGGAGTGGAATACACACAAGTTCTCTGACAAGCATAGATATTGTTGTAGAAACATTTTACTAGATAATCAACTCAAAAATATCTCTCAAGACATCGGAGCCTGTGAATTTAAGAATTTAGACTTTATTGCATATAAAGCCGAGCCTTTCTCCATGGAGAAAGAACTGGCTCTCCTTGGCTCAAAGATCTCCTTTTATACAAATACAAGCGCATAGTCACCCTTACATAGCATACCCAGTTACTACCCCTAGGGTAATTGATTAACTTCTTTCATGGCCACGCCACCCTTATCTTTCAACGTCTAGATGTCACATGTTGTTTTTCTCCAAAAAGGCTATGTGAACTTTTCCATATGACCTCTTCCTCTTATCTCATTATATTGGTGGCAGACCCTTTCTCAAAAATAATACACATACATACATTAAGGCATGGTTACACACTGTATTGGCTATATTGCTTATTTAAACATACATCTGGATTATAGAATGTCAATCATGTTTACTATATTTTACTTTTGACATTTCCCAACATTTTGCCTTAACGATACATAATTTATTACTATATAATCCCCCCTTTGGGACTTTTAAGTCCCAACCAATAAAACAAAAGATACCATAAAATGAGTGTAAGCATGTGCATATACTTATTCTTAGCCTTGACATCTGTGGTTACATTTTATAAGAATATATATTCAGACCAATGTATCTTCCTCATTGTCTGACCCATCCTGATGAGGACCCAGAGCCCAGTCAGGTATTGGTTACAAGTCTTGAAGGTTTCCCTTTAAGCTAACCTCCAATTGTTGCTGTTGAGCTTTGTAACCATTGCTCCCCTTTTATTTTGTTATATTTCCAATATACGTGGTAGTATCCTAACACATCAAAATATATAAGAAATAAATGCAACTTTGTTTTAACCATAATATCTAGGACATGTTAAAAATAGTGTAAACATCTTTAGCTTACATAACCTTTTTACCCCATATCACAAGTATTATAACAATCAAAATAATCAATATCCAAATCTAATCAAGTAATTGCCATGTCAACATCACTAAGCATTACTATTAATAAGTTATTCAGATCAGTCAGTCCACTTATAATTTATACTCATAATCAAATTAATTACCCAACACAACTTTAGAATGACAATTCTTAATTAGTCACCTTTGTTCCATCATTCAAAGTTAAAACTCTCACCTTGGCACGTATATTTATATTATACTAATTCTAGCATTAACTTCCTCATAACAAGAATTACAACAGATCAGTACCTTAATGCATTGTCCAAATTACTATAAATTTAGTAGTGTATAATACCTCCTTAATCAACATACTACCTCAACTAACACTCCCTTCCTCTACCGGCACTCAATCTTCTGGCGTCTTCATTATTCTTCATTATGTTGTTCATAGTTCATCTTGAATTGCCCATTGCAATGTCCCAATTCCAATGTCACACCTGAACCGCCACACCTCCCCCATCATCCTGTTTTGTCCATGTGCAAACCAGTATATTGCTTTGATTTGATGCTGGATTCAGGTCTCCTGGCAGAAGTGGTTCCGACAAGAACGTCTTCAACGCCTTTGTTGTTCCTCTTCAGCCGAGTAGAGGATTTTTGGTTTTTATTGAGGTTTACACCGTTCTGAGCCAATTGATCTCTGCAATGCATTACGACACCATCCGTTGTAACCTCAGGAAAGGACAGATCATAACAGTTCAGTTGAGTTAATTTCCAATCCAAAATATCCCTATTAACATTGTCTACATGACAAATCATTATGTTTCATCACTCATTCTTATACCCATTTCTATCTAACGCCTGATAGATTTTCCTTTGAGGGGCCCCTGTATTTCAAAGGCTATCTGTTTAAACACCCCCTAGTTTCACATTCTCCCTTGAATTCTCCCAAATTATATAACCCAATTGTTTTATTGTAACATTCCTATATTTTTGCTCATACTCTATTTGACATTACTCTGGTATTTCCCTTTCCTTGTTCCTATTCTAACAATTGCTTACACTTCTCTCCTCATCCTGGTTGATCATAAAATTGTTTATATTTAGGATTTCCTAAATATTACAAACATTCTGCTGGCCAACATGGTCTTTCCAAGTTCCTTATATGACAAAAGTTGTAGTTGAATCATAACACAGTCCTAGTAACTGTGAAGATTTTGAACTACTGTTAATTCTTTAAACGGAGATGTGGTGCATATTAGACTATTTTCTTTATTTAATTGTAATATAATATATTGTACTCATCTATATCAATCATTGTTTAACAGCTCCTTCAATTCCCTTTCTTCTGTATTTGGTATGGCCCTAACATATACAGGGTGTAATGCACTTTCCCAAGGAATAATTACTCCAATAACACTTCCCGCTGGAAATCTAACACCAAATACTACATCAAATTGTTTATCTAGGTATTGGACTGTTCTCCTTATTTCTATGATTCACCTGTCTCCTTCTTTCATTATCTTAAGGTCACACTACCCCATGTGACTTCCCCATACTCTTTGTGCTGGTTTCTCACACACCAATACTATTTTAACCCTTGTATTCTAATAGTGATCTCTTCTGTGTCTCTTCCTTCTGCTCTTTATTATTATCAGTACTCCATTCCCCTTATTATCAGGTAACTAGTCAAGTACAGAGAAATCAATGATAAGGATATCTGGTGTGTCTTGGAGGTCTGGAATCTCTCGGCGATCTGGAAGGTCCTTAAAGTCTCTTAATCATCAGTTCCCTCACTCTGGTACAATGGTTAAGATGATACCCGATACTCCCCTCTATCCGTACCATCGTTGGTATAACCTGGACAACGATGTGTATGGTCACTTCAGTTGTTAACCTTCCCCCGTCACTAGGGTCTCCGGATTATCCAAAGTCCCTCTCAATCTATCGACATCGGTCTGTAAAAGTGTCCTTCTATCAGCCTTCCCATAGGGAAGCTCAGAGTTACTGCTGCAAAGACACAAGCACAGACACACACAAAAAACAACAATACTACCCAATGGCTGAGGTTGGAACACTCCTATAGTGAAACATTAATCTTAGTATCTGTCTCCACCAGTTTTACCATCATTAAGGCAGCCAACAACACCTGGTACAAGCCCCTCCACATAGGGTCTTTCCAGCTCTTTCTTCTGTAGTCTTTTGTCATCACATAGTCTCCAGGGCACAGAAAATACTCAGATTATCCTACTCAGTTGGGCATAGTTATCTTCACCCATGAATCATGAAAAGAAAATCTTAAGAACATTGTTAGGTTAGGTGAGACACAGTATGCTACTTATGTCCTCTCATCCGACAAAAGAAGCCTTGAGATTATGAAGCACACCTGCTTCCAGCTTGTTGTAGTCCACTTATCTCATAGACAGACCACCTCTACACCATGCCTCCTATCACAAAAACAAAAATGATTTAACCTAACCCATAACACATTATTGCTACTGCTCACATCCTTAATACACCTTGCATATTTCCCCACAAAACCATAATAAACCATTAAAACCTCTGTAATCCCAACTTCCCCCCTTGGACACATGCATCACATCGTGATTCATGTGTACAAAAAACAAAACAAAACAATATTGCCTATCAAACCTAAAATAATAACTAACCTTAAAATGACAACCCTTGAGCATATCTTTACTTAACTGTGTTCCATAACACTATTCAAGGAATACTTCTCCTTCAGGACTAACTCTCTCACTTCATCCTTGTCCTGTTTAGACTAATTTATATATAGGATTTTTCCAAATTATAAACTTCTTCACAATTATCCTTATTTTATCTAACCCCCTAATTCAGCATGCCTCTAGAATTCATAGTGCGGATTTCAGAGGTCATTGAAATCATTCAATGAATTGTTTCATCCTATAGTATACTACTTCTAACAACCATCAAAACCTTTCATAAATGTTGTAATTCCTTAGTACAGCTCTTTTCAAAATAAATCACACATATGTACTTATCCCTCAGTAAATAAAACCCAAATTACATGTGTATGCTCCTTTAAAATATTTCACTTCCATCCTGTCACAAAACCCAAAATAGAAATAAAATCCTATACAGAATAGCATTTCATACTAAGTAATTTGTTTATGGTAATTCAAACACCATATAGTAAAACAATAAACAAACAAAAAATGGCCAGGCCTTATTTATTTTGGTAGCTCCCTATGACAACCTAAAAATAAACCTACTTAATCTTACTAACTAGCTCCACCCTAGCCTACAGACTTTTTTAACCTCCCAATAAAAAATCCCCATGTTCCTGGAAGAGAAAGTATACATGTCGTTAACATATAATCAACAATCCAAAGATAGTAATTACACACAAAACATCATACATATCTCCCCAGTCTTATCTCATCAACAATCATTAACCCCAGCATCGATTTAAAATTGTTTGATACGTCGTGTCCTACTTTACCCCTAACCTAAAATTTTAGGAGACTCCCATCAATCCTTAAAAGACAACTCCCATTTAGAAGACACTATATAATAACCCATTTTATTAATTTAAACGTCGCAAAGTGTAGCATTGATGTTTTCTTTTTTTTTTTTTTGCTTCTTCTAAAATATAAATTT